ACAACGAGTCGAAGGGAAGGAAGGAGAAGAAGAGGAGCAGTGGAGTGGATGGGTCGTCCACTGAGGGTGAGGTGGTGTCGGGAACGCCTATCTCGATGGGGCTCCCAGAAGTCAGTCTGACTCTGATCTCTGGGAGCCGAAGAGCATCGGATCGGCTGCGTTCCGGATCCGCCGCTTCGTCGGATGGCGCGGAGGCCATGGAAGCGGAACACCGCAGCGACAGCCGGAAACGCGGACGCTCAGGGGATGAGGAAACCGACACATCCCAGGAGATGATGCCACCGAAAGTGGCAAGCAGCCGTCGAGGGAGGCCACGAAAACCGGCCTCGGTCTCGATCCCGTCAGGCTCCGCGTTCTCAAACGCGGAGTCGTACAGAAGCGTACGGGTGGACGGCGAGGCCGTAGCGGAGGAGGAGATCGCGGATCTCCTGCTCAAGGTTCGGGAGCCGGTGGGGGGAAATGCCCCCCAGGCTCCCGTGTCCGTGCAGGAGAGGGCGAAAGCGGCGGTGGCCGTCATCCACAAGGTGGCCACCAAGTCCGTTAACCTTAAGGGCTCGTTTGTGAGGGCCCTTAAGGACTCCTCCTCCGCTTTGTCGGAGGTCGTGGAGGGCCTGGTGGGCGATGTCTCTCGCCTACAGTTGGCCAACGAGAGACTCACGGAGCTGGTCCTGCTGCAGAAGCCGGTCGCGGCCTATAGGCCTATCGTGTTGCTGGACGAGGCGGGCAAACTTTTTGATTGGGTGCTTTCTGCCCGCATCGTCCGGCACCTTTGCGAGGTTGGCCCCGATCTGTCGGACGCCCAATTCGGTTTCCGAGCGGGGCGTTCGACGATCGATGCCGTAATGCGCCTTAGGGCCGTGACCGAGGAGGCCGTGAGCTGCGGCGGAGTGGTGTTGGCGGTGTCCTTGGACATCGCCAACGCCTTCAATAGTCTGCCATTCAGCTGCATCAGGGAAGCGCTCCGCTACCACGGAGTGCCAGAGTACCTGAGGTGGCTGGTGGCAGATTATCTTGAGGAGCGAACCGTCATGTACGAGGACCGAAATGGCGTCTTGAGACGCAGGGCCATGTCGTGCGGTGTTCCGCAGGGGTCTGTCCTAGGACCTCTCCTGTGGAACATCGGGTACGACTGGGCCCTACGAGGGCGTCTCCTCCCCGGGCTGGGTGTAATCTGCTACGCGGATGACACCTTACTCACGGCCCGGGGGCTAACTTCCAGGAGGCGGCGCGCCTGGCCGCCACGGGAGTTTCCCAGGTGGTCGGGCGCATTGAGGCGTTGGGGTTACGGGTGGCCCTGGATAAGACGGAGGCCCTATTATTTCATGGGCCCCGTCGTGGTCCACCCGCCGGCGCCTCAATCGAGGTCAGCTCGGTTCTCGTACCGGTCCGGGCCCAGATGAGGTACCTGGGTCTGGTCCTAGACGGTAGGTGGCTCTTCGACGAGCACTTCCGACAGCTTGATCCGAAGCTGGTGGACACTGCCTCCGCCTTAGGGCGACTTTTGCCCAATTTGGGCGGGGCCAGTGTTCCCACGAGGCGGCTGTACGCGGGGGTTGTCCGGTCCATGGCGCTTTATGGTGCACCGGTGTGGGTGGCGGCTCTGACCGCCTCGAATAGGGCGCGCCTCTGCCGCCCCCAGAGGATATTGGCGGTCAGAGCCACCGAGGCGGCTTGCGCCTTGGCCGGAACACCCCCGTGGGATTTGGAGGCGGAGGTGCTCGCCGAAGTTTATCGGCGAGTGGCTGACTTCCGGGCGGAGAGCGGCTGGAGACTCCACGCGCTGGCTTCGCCGCCGTGGAGGCTCTCCAGCCGGTCATAGCCGAGTGGGCAGGGCGGCAGCACGGGGCCCTTTCCTTCCGGCTGACGCAGGTGCTTTCCGGGCACGGTTGCTTCGGAAAGTACCTGCACTCGGTCGCTAGGAGGGAACTGAGTCCCGCCTGCCACCACTGCGACTGCAGTGAGGGCCCGGCGCTGCGTCGCCCATGCGGGGCAGACCGCCAGCGTGTGCTGGGCCGAGTCCTCACTGCAGTCGTCGGAGCAGATCTCTCGCTACCGGCCGTAATTCGCTCCATGGCCGGTAGCGACAGTTGTTTTACCGCGGTCGCAACCTTCTGCGAGGAGGTAATCTCGCAGAAGGAGGCGGCGGAGAAGGCCCGGGAGACCGACTTCCACTCGGACCTGATCCGCCGCTAGCGAACCGGGCGGCGGAGGCGCGCTTACTTGCGCCTCATGCCGCCCTGAGTGTGGCCGCGGGTGGACGGGGTGGGTTTCCCCTCCACCCGCATTAGTTGGCGAGCCGCGAGGGGGCGGCGTCCGCGTGTACCGGACGTTGCCTAAAGAGAGGATAAGTGGAGACGGAGCCCGCACCAGGAGCGGGCGCTGGGAGGGGTCCAGAAGGCGATAACTACCTGGACCCCTCCTAAACTGGAAGCGCAAAGAGGGCACACCGTGTGGTTTTAGTCGGTTCGAGTCCGACACACCACCCCGCCACAAACACGTAAAAAAAAAAAAAAAAAAAAAAAAAAGGGTTTGTTTCAAGTTTTCCTTCTCTCTGTAGTGCTGTTGTCCTGCTTAGTTTGCTCCCTTAGTCGGCTCTTACGACACCCACAGGATGAATTGGGGTGGTGACAATTTGTATTCTTAATCCGTCACCACACGGACAGTTATAGGTGAGTTGAATCTGTGTGAGAGACTGGTATCTGCACTAGGTACACCTGTATTACAGATTACCAGCCTCTCCTGACTCTAGATGCGTAAGTGTTATCCTGTAGGTATAACTTGATTAGGTGAGAGCTAAAGCAAAGTGAAGTGAAGGAAAAATGTGTGTGTGTGTGTGTGTGTGTGTGATGCGTGTGAGTATGGTGTGTGTGTGCGTGTGTGTGTGTGTGTGAGTGTGTGTGTGATGAGTGTGAGGAAGGTTGTGTGTGTGAATAGAGGTAATAACCCTACAACGATGAAGATGATGGTGATCGGATGTGCGTGATTGAACGTGATTTATAAAGGAAATACATGGCACTAATATGTGTAGATACGACTATACTTATACAAAAATAGATCTCAGATAATTGTCTATTGCGGGACATATAACAGATTTTCCGTTTCCTCATAACTGAGTGTTTTTAGCCAGTCAGAAATAGCCCTTTTGCAGCGATATTTTGAAAGGCAATAGATGTCTAAAATTGCATTTACCCTGTTATATAAGTACCTGCCCATGAAACCAAAGAATTTACCAGAGAAAGCTGTGGTCCTGCGACAATCACTTTTTTGGACTACTTTATGTTTTAGCCGTTTATTAGTAAGTGATGGGTCGTAGGGTAGCATTGAATGCTGTCTTATGATTATGCTTAGAACGTACAGTTGGCGTACCGTCAGGACGTTAGTAAGATGGTATAGGTCCCTTGTTGGGTGTAAGAAGGGGAGTGAGTAACTTACCTTTAGAACTGCCCGTTAAGCTCTTTCTACCTTAATCAAGTTAGATTTACATGCACCGCCCCACACTGATATACAGTATGACAGTATAGACTGACATAGGGACATGTAAACCAGATTGATCACTTTCCTATCTGCTACGCGACGCAATTTTTTAAAGATAAAAATTAATTTACGAGTTCTTGCTGCGAGTAGGTCTCGATGGTAATTAAAGTTTAGGGTACTGTCAATTACCACCCCTAAGTATTTAACGTGTGAGACACTTTCCAGGTGGTAAAAAACAGGTTTGGTTGGGTAAGCATGAATGGGCTATGATAGAGTAGTCATCATGTACGTTGGGTGAAGTATTTTTAATAGCGAAAGGTATAAACTTTGTCTTGTCAACATTAAGGGTTAGTCTATTGTTCTTGAGCCAAGAGGACACCTCGTTGAAACCCATTTGTGCGGAGGTGTAAGTGTCCTCCCAGGTGTCTCCATGAAAAATCATCGCAGTGTCATCTGCGAAGGTCACTATTTTGCCGTTAGCAAGTTTGAGATTACAAAGGTCGTTGATGTAGGTGAGAAAGAGCGTTGGACCTAGTACACTGCCCTGCGGTACGCCGAACTCCATAGGTACGTCATCGCTAATGCCATCACCAACTCTCACCCTTTGGTATCTGTCGGTGAGATAATCAGCAAACAACTTATGCTGTATGCCTCGAATACCTAATTTTTCCAGCTTGTCTAGTAGGAGTGGGACAGAGACCGTGTCAAAAGCCTTGGCTAAGTCTAGGAATATAGAAATGTCTTTTTTCTTTTTATCTAATTGGTGCACAATATGATCCGTTAATGCGTGGATAGCATCATTAGTTGATGTACTAGTTAATGAAAATTGAATGAATTAAACAATAAATTAACTTCAACACCTTAATAAAGTAATCACAAAGGCTTTTCATAGTTAGATATTGAAACTGAACCCACCAAATTTTGTATTCAAACCATAGATGGCATTTGAGGTACGCGTGGAAATTGCAAGTTCGCGCCATTTTTGACTGCCTCGGTGATGCAGTGTTAGCGTATGCGACTGCTGTGCTGTCTCGAGTTCGATTCCCTGGTCGGACTAAGTGTTTGTATGATCTGCAAATATTTGTTTCAGAGTTTGGGTGTTTTCTATGTAAAATATGAATCTATTTACAAAAAAAAAGTATATAATATGTAAGTTTTCTATGAGTCAATCTACCTTTCATGGTACAAGCTCTGCTTAGTTTGAAACTAGATGGTGTTGTGTATCAGATGTTCGAAATATTATTATTATTATTGAACTTAGTGTTTGAGATTGTGGTATTCTAAGTTTAATTACATGACATCACATGTTTATGGGGTACAATACCTTTTTTGATTATCTGACCTCTTTACCAGATAAACTGATCATGGTCATAGCTGACACTAGTGGTTTCATTAGTAGTCAGGGGGATCCCTGTAGACTATTAGCCTTTTAAGTAATTTATTCATGTACTAGTAGTAAAAATAAACAAAATTATCAACTAAGAATTTAATTTAACAACAACACTAAATAGCTCTATAAATAATTTTTACACTTCATCAACAAGTTTGAACCTGTGGTGTTGTTCTTTTGGTATCACATTAAAATATTTCTTCATTATGGTCTGCTGCTCTCTGCCTCCGTAGATTCTCTGTACCCAGGTGTGTTCCCAATTAGGGTCAAATTTTTCACATGTTACAACTACTCTGCCTGCCTCTATAGCAAATAATGTACCATTCCGGCCAAAACCAACCTGAAATTGAATTTTATTCCATCAACATTTATCACCAGCAAAGAGAAAAGAACATTGAGAAATATTGCAATCCTTTCTTCTATATAAACAAAAAGCTAATTTATAAACCTTTCCATTATATAAATGGAATGACAAAACTTAATAATTTTGTTAAGTTTTACAATATAATTACTGCAATGGACTTGTTTGATTGATATCCTTTCTTTTATACATTAATAATACTTTGAATGATTAGTAAATTATTAGTATTTAAAGATTGAAAAGTTGCTCAGAAACCTGTAACACCAGGATGTTTTTTTTTTCTTCTATAGATATAAAATCACTCTCGCCAATCGATCGAATCGATCAAATCGAGCACGTTGGGTGTCACGATTGGTTAAGATTTCAATCGACGATCAGACGATCAAGTAGATGTGAAATGACCTCGCACTTGGGCCTCTGATATGATGTATAATACTCTGGCTACTTGGATCACACCTACACCAATTTTGGAAAATATTTGGGTCATCATAGTTGTTTTTTTTTATAAATAGACGGCCAAACATAGGTTTCTGGTAATTATGCTAAAAGTTCAATACACAATGTATTATCTAAGTATTTATAATCGAAAATATGTTGTTTGACTTCTGAGCCTCAAAATGTAAGTAGTAATGAAATATGTTTAGTTTTCATCATATAACAGTGATTTTTTCTTGACACAAAGATCTTTGTAGTGATACTTAGTTCCATAATTGCTTGAAAATCCCCTTTATTAAAAGAACTATATTTCCTGAATACAACATCTGGAAAGCCCCTTAGCCAATAATACTATTATATAAACAATTCATAATTAAAATTTTGTATTCTATATTGCATTGTTAATGAGTAATTTTTCAGTTGTAAAGTTTATTCATGATTTCTATGAATAAACTTTGAAAAAATCTGTCATGTTTGATTCCTTTAAAGTTAACTGTGGATGGGTTCTAACTCTCCTAATATTAGTTCTACCTAAATTGACAAATATGTAATCAGTGAATTTTGAATTTAGGAAAGTTAATATTCCCTTACACAATAACATTGTAGAAATAACTTTAATTTGTTATTTAATACCTGTGTCAAAAATGAATGTATTTTATCAGAAGTTTGACTGCAGCACTGTTATGTAAATTTACCAAAAGTAAGAGATTTGTGTGTCAGTGATAATTAATTATAGAGAACGTTACATACATTTAGTCCAGGATGAAATCTAGGAGTCCTCTGGGTAGCTAGCATATGACCAGCCTGTACATAATGTCCGTCTTGCACCTTCCACCCTCTACGTTTAGGCTTTACTTTACAATTAGTATTCTGTGTACTACCACCAGTCTTCTTGCTGGCGTTACGAACGAATTCTAAAATATCAGAAAATCAGAAATCAGTAAATAAATACTCTATTTATTGCTAACCTCAAATACATTGCATTATAAAGTAATAATACCTTTGATGACTGAATTTACTCTATTCGTATTTAGAAGAAAATTAAAAGACATTATTCATAAATATGTTACTCAATCTCTATTGGAATTTCTTATCTATCAAATGCTAGTAGCTAATAGTAGCTTTAACAAATTGAATTCTATCTCATGCAATTGCAATTGACATAACCAGTGTTTTCACTTTAATGATTTCTTTTCCCCACGCCTCAATTCAAATTTTCCCTTCTCGAAGCTTTTTTCCCCTCAAAAATTTTTCTGCTGTAGTTTTTACTTTTGGCCTTAGTGTAGTAACTAAAAAAAAAAAAAAGTCTATTGATTTTCTTCTATAGCCAGCCCACGCCTCTGGTGATACTATACTATGAAATCTATAAAACTTAGGCTGTATACTCACCTCTTATTCCAAGTTAGTTTACGCAATCAGCACACACATTACATACATTAGCACAGAATAATATTTTAGACCGTGAACAGAATGGAAATAAGGGTAAGTATACGCCACCTGCACGTGTTGTCACTGTTTTATACGGCAACATGCTAGTCCACGGTAGAGTCCATAAAAAAATAGTTCCGAAATTTACCGCAATATTTTAAGCTAGGTTTTACCCATGATTTCCCTCAATTTCCCCTTTTAATGTCTTCACCTTTTTCTCCCCCTATGGACCCTATTTCCCCTCAAATGCGGCATTTCCCCTGATTGTGGAAACACTGGCAGGGATGTAGATTGTGGTCAGCCAAAGCTGGACGGATGATAGTCATACCTGATAAAAAATAACAATTATAGTTATTAATAAATATATTACAAATAATTATTATTATTAACATTATTCGTTGACTTTTTTATTATTAGATCTTATTAATGTCTATACATAATTTGAAAATATTAAAATAAAAGTCAATCGTGAGTTACATTGACCAAATTTTTATATTATGTTCTAACAAAACCATCGCGATAAAGTTAATCTGAGTTACTCAATGGGTCAAAAATAAATATTATTATGAACAGTAAATTTTTATAATAATCAATGTTGTAACCATGACGTACAGAAAGAACTTAGATATTGATAGATGCAAGAATTTTTGTAGTGATAGCTTCTTATGGAAAGGTAAACCGCTTCTTTACGTAACGCGTTACGGCGCTTGTCTGTCTCGCTTCCCTTTCAATCTCTCAATTCGATTTGCAAATTCTTAAGGTAAAAAAAAGAAATTTTATCATATTATTAAATGGTTAACAAAAAATTACAAACAATCATTCATCCGTTAAACATGTTTTAATTCTGAAATAAAACTATTTTATATGCCTCAGCCTATATTGCCACTTCATTCTCTAGAATTGTATATCTTCGTTACAACAGGCAACACTGCGTTAAGTCGAGTCCTTTTATAGAATATAGGCATAGAGTTTCAGTATAATACAATGTACTCTGTGGCATAGAGTGAACAAAAGCCACAAGCCCAATCTTACAGTAGAGGCACATCCGATGGAGCCACTGAATTAAAAGAAGAAGAAGAAGTACAATAGAGGCAACGAGAAAGATGGATTATAAATAGATATCTATATCTCTTTTCAGTCGAGCTTTGTTGTTCGCTGGGGAACATGTGGGTAATAAGTATCCAATCCCAGCTTGGCTAAACAGAAACGGATAGTTCTCTATTGGCATTCATCTCCCTCGTTGCGTGTATCGTTTCCACTTACAGGCAGCCGTACCTCGTGTTCTTTTTATGCTTATATCTCTATGAGTCCTTAACGCCGTACTGTCAAGTGTCAAGAACCGCGACCACTTGTAGATGTCAACAATGTCAATACTCAATTTATTTGACAGATCGTCAGTGTTGTGGTGCGAGTGTGGTTTATCTAAACAATTTAAATCACAATCACATTGTATCACATCTGATTGAATATTCTCATCTACGAGTAATACTTTCTTTTATGTGAGTAAAAGAAATAAATGAATCATGAGTTCTGATCCATTAAATGTTGCAAGACGCAAGCTAAACGAAGTTCTTGGTGAGAAATCTACAAAATATTTTAACAATATGAAACAGTGGTTTCGCATGAAACTGACTAAAGAAGAATTCGACGCGGAAGCCCGGAAACTGCTATTCTCTGATCAAGTGCATTATCATAATGAATTTCTGTTGGCGCTCTTGAATAAGGTAGAAGGGCTGGCGGAAACGTCGATTAGTATAGCACAAGAGAAAGCCAGTAGCCACAATCGCAACAGTAGGCGACACAAAAGGAGCTCCCGAACCTCGGAGAAATCTAACTTTGAACCTGTCGATTTACTGGAGTATCTACCGCCTAGTTCACCTACGGGTGCGGGAAGCGATGGTGTTAAGTACGCCGCACAGGTATTGCTTCTTTCTTATTTTTATAAGATTTCTAACACCCTAACTAACTATCTTGCAACCAAATTTATTTGTTTCTTTCTGTAAGTTTTCTGGTTTCATTCTCCTCTATCACTTATCAGTTCACCTCTTTCTCCCTTTCTAGCTATATACTCTCTCATCCATATTATCCATAACTTCCATACATACATAAAACTTTCTACACTACATTTTGCTCAACTCTATGCATCACCTTCAAACCTTAAAGAAAAGAGTGTACTCCTTCTTCAAAGGCCGGCAACACGATTGTGACTCCTGAGTTGCAGACATTCATGGGCGGCGATGGTCACTTTCCATCAGGTGACCTGTCTGCTCGTCTGCCCCCTCTAACATAAAAAACATTACAAGAAAACCTGTTGCTCCTAAACTTTTCCTCTACTGGTGCTAATTTTAGATTTTCTCTAATGTATTTATTCCTCACCCTGTCCATCCTAGTCACACCACAGCCAAAATTAATATGAAAAATTATAGTTTGTTTATTTGTTGTATATATTATGTATTGTTGTTTATTTCGATTCATCAAATAGTAAAGGTACAAAAGGACACTTTCGCACCTTTACTATGTGATGAATCAAAATGAAATTTTAAACACATAATTTTGGTTGGCAATATTAATTATCTATTTTCTAATTTGCAGGAAATATTCTTGCCTGACCATGCTCTTGTAGTTGGTCGGTTCATGTTAGCAGCCTGGGAACTAGGGCTTGAAGGAGCTGATGATGACGCAGCAGACATAATTGTGGTTGCCGTACAGAACTTCCTTAAGAATATAATTGCTGCAGTATTATCTCAGCGTAAAGGCTATAAAATTCACAACAGACACTTCATGTATGATGTTGGAGGTGACATGCCTAATATGTGGTTAAGGAATACATTGAAACTGTATGATCCACAAAGTGAGGGAAGACTTAATGTAGATGACGCTATGAGTGATTGTCTGGGTCCTAGATGCCCACCTACTATTGATGAGATGGAACATTCTGCTGCTTTGGAGATTGCTTGCAGGTAAGACTAACACACTTTAGGAACAGTCGTTAAAAATATATAACAAGACAAATACTTAAGACATACACAAACTTTCTGTGATGAGTCAAATGAATACTTGGAAAATAGTCGATGATGTCTCAATAAAATTAATTCTTTTATTTAATCTAAGAATGTATGGTATAAGCTATGATTTAAATGTAATTCTACAAAACTTTTAAAAATGGTATTACTCTAAAGTGATAGGTTTGAAATTAAAGAATGATTTTGTCTTTTTTTAAGATGAAAACAATAAAAATTATCTGATATCTTCAAAATTAAAGTGACCTAACTAAGAACCGGAATGCCATGGGAATTAAATTTAAAAAAGACGACTGCAATGACTAAGAGTGCAAATGATATGCCAATCAGTTCTTATTATATATACATATAATCAATAATATCTATTTCTTTTTCAGTACACAAAGTGTTGAGCTAAATAATGACAAACTAACCATAGATGAATTCTACAACACTCTACTTACAAATAAAAATATTATCGCATGTCATTCAGTGTATGCTGTGAATATGGAAAGATTAGCAGTTATGTTAAATCATCCTAGTGTGTAGAATTAATTCTTCTTTAATATGTTAAGATAGTCATTAATATTCACAGTTCATAGAAAAATCTATGCTTAGACTTTATTATTGTAAATAATTAAAATAAGAATAAAGAACAGATTTAGAATTAAATGTTAGTTTGATTTGAAAACTCCTTGCAATTGATTTTAAATACTATATTTCTATTATAATTGTTACGTAAACAACTGATTTAAATTGGGACACATTGCTGGTTTCTTACCACAATGAAACTATCAGCTTACCTTGCAATAACGTTTCTGAATCGACTGCACGCATAGCGTAGTGGTTCAAGCGGTCACCTCGCCGCTTCTTGCTGCGCTGAGTATTGTGGGTTCAACCCCCACATGGGACAACACTTTGTGTGATTCACAAATTGTTGTTCTGAGTCTGGATGTTCTTTGTGTCCGTTTCATGTACGTTTGTGAAGTCCCTCGCGACAGGATATATGCTACTGCGGAAGTTGTAAATAATAATAATTGTGGAAGTTTTTCTAACGGTCAGTTTCGGTTTTCTATTGATTCGATCGACAGGTTTTAGTCTGTTTGCAGTTTTACGAGCTCTGGGATACACAACAGACATATGTCTATAAAACTAAGTGAGACAGTTTGTGGACAGAGATTTTTTTTGTTTGTTACCTCCTGTTGTGAGTAAATTCGTGTTTGGTCTCATTGAAATTTGAAGAAAAATCTCCACCCCTCTAAGGGTCGATACATATTGTATGATACTCATAAAAAAAGTATTTTTTTTAATAGTTAACATTATTAAATTCATTTAAACATGTCATCACAGTAACTTAATTATTTTAAATAACGTCAATAATCTATACTAATATTATAAAGCTGAAGAGTTTGTTTGTTTGTTTGTTTGTTTGTTTGAACGCGCTAATCTCAGGAACTACTGGTCCGATTTGAAAAATTCTTTGAGTGTTAGATAGCCCATTTATCGAGGAAGGCTATAGGCTATATATCATCACGCTAAGACCAATAGGAGCAGAGCACCAATGAAGAATGTTTCAAAAACGGAGAAAATTTATTACTATTGAGAGACGCAGACGAAGTTGCGCGGGTCAGCTAGTAGCATAATAAATATCATTAAGCAATTCAATATGTGTTTAATAATGAAAATCTGAACGTAAATTTACCCCACAGCATTTATTTTTATTCTAAAATATATGTTCAGTCAAAAACGAAATACCTACCATGTATTGTCAACGACACCACTAAACTTAACCCTGTGGGATAACTGGGGTGTCGCTTACTTTTTTTTTTTTGGTAACGACACCGAAGTTTCCAGAAGTTGATTTAAAGATAGCAGAAGAAGTGAAACAAAGATACAATCCAAAAATGAATAGTTATTGTATAACATCGGATCCAGTTTTATATATTAATTTAGTTGTTTTTGTTGTATTGAATACTTTTATTGTGTTTTACGAATCCCTTGTAAACAATGTGAATTCGACAAATTTCAACATTATCATTTAAAATTAACATATAACCAATTGTTTTATGTCACGTTATACATCACTAGTCAGGAGTGTTGTCGTTAACAATTGGTTTATACACGCAAAATGCGACTAGATTTTTAATAAAAAGAGTATTAAAGTAATAATTATAGAATATATTAGAAAGAAAAACTACATTAGAAAGAATTTGCGAGCCATTAATATTAGTTCTGACTGTATCATCTCATCTTTATTTTATTTATTTCTGTTATTAGAAAAATTACGATTAAGCAAATTTGTGAATATAAAAAACATGAAAAAAAATATTTACATGAAAAAAAGAGTGTGAATGAGCATTAAGGTGAACAAGAATTCCGGATTGACATAAAATTAATAGTTAATACTATTAATTAAATGAGTATAATCATCATGATGATGATGATGAAATATGTTCTTCTCTTTAACGAATTATGAGACATATTCAGTCTTTATGATTTATGTCTATAAAATATAAATACGGTACGGTATGCGTTTGTTACCTACCTACCCAATATTTCCGTGAACAACTACAATCCTATGTGAAATACAATAAAAAAAAACAGGTCCCGTGATAAGTCATTCCTAGTTTGTAAATTAGGAATTTGAGCATTTATCACTTTACCGGACTTCACTGTCTTCAGGGGATACAAGGGGTGTGGTCGTTCCAGGTTCGGATGGCGATTCAATAACGACTGACGGAATTGCTCTTCCTGGTTGAGGAGTTGAAGGTGTCCGGCTAGGTGTAGCCTCTGTTCGCATTTGTCCGAGTTCATGAGTTTCTATAGTCTCTTCACGTCTTCGAATGCTGCCGAGAAACCATTGATACCTCCACGCCGAAAGTCCCAGTATGCATAAGAAGACTATAAAGGCAATTACTCCGAACGTGATGCCTGTGGCTGATGAGTTTGGCACTGTGTATAAACCTGAGGAGATATTGAAAATTATTGACCGCTAGTTTAGGGTCCTACTCGTTATCGTGCGGAGCGAGAGTGCGTGGAACTCTGCCATCTCCTTCTGCGAGCAAGTTATGCTTGCGAAGGAGACGCCGGAGCGGGACCGGGAAAGGTTTAGAACTCTCCCGGCCCGCCAGGCCCGGGAACGGGCCAGGTACCGCAGGCGACTCAGGCGCCGGAGGTCGCAGAATGACCTCCGTCCTCCATAAGCGCAGGCCTGGGGGTGACAAGTGAGGCCATCTGTCACCCTAGCAGAAGCAGGCCGGGGTGGCGGCGAGCGCGTTGCGAAGCGCGCTCGCTTCCACGGAGCAGAGGGAACATGGGGTTCCCACACGGGGGGGGTCGTCTACTCGTCTGTAGATGGCCCGAGGTATGTCGAGGCACCAGGGACTTCCTTTCTAGGGTATACCTGGTTCCCCGGCTATTAGTACCCGAGACGGCGTGTGGTTCGAGTCCGACATGCCACCGCTAGGTGGTATCCGAGGGGATTTCCGCACGAAAAAAAAAAAAAAAAAAGCCCTACTCGTTAAAATGTATTGTAAAAATTAGTTCAATGTACGCATATTCCTAGTATAAAAAGGCTGGTCGGACGCACTACAGCTTATTAGATAAGCGATTAAGTGCGGGTTTCAACCCCACGCACTGCTCTGTCGACGTCGTGATCTCATTCCTAATAAATATGTTATAAAAAGAGGGACAGCATTCATTATCATCATCATCAACAGCCTTAATTAGTCCGCTGCTGGACAAACACCTCTCCTTAGAAAGGAGCTTTGGTATATTAGATACCACCAGACGGGTTGGTATAAGGTTTGTTTTAAGTTTCTTTCCCTTTGCTACTGTCCTGCGTAGCTGAATCCCTTAGTCGGCTCTTACGACACCCACAGAATAAAAAGGGGTGGTGAGACCCTGTATTCTTAATTTGTCATCATTAACTTCAATAAATTTATAATTTAAGTATATTCAAGAAAAGGACAAATTTTAGAAACATGTTAATTGCTTAATGTACGTATTCCTTACCACAGTTAGCAAATAAGGCCATAAGAAATAAATTGAAAAGAACCTTCAACTTTGAAATTAATGAAATCAGTGTACTCGTGGCCGTCTTCCAAACCAGCACCACAGGTCCATGTGCCAAAATCGTCATATTTCACTTTCCTAATGGTCACTGCACAATCTCCACGGTCTAAACTCTTGTTATTTGGAAAATAATACCTTTTTAGAAGAGGGCTGAAAAGACGAAATTCAAATGCTTACCATGTTTTATATTTATATTTCGTACACATTTTTATGCCTAAATGTATAAGAGTGTTATTTTACAACCATTCTTTGAAATAAATAAATTTATCATTATTATTAATAATATTAAAGTTAGACTTCGTACAAAGTTCTGTCTATTGAACATTTAAATTAAAATTCAATATGTGTTAATTTCTTCACTAGGTACTTTGAAAACATTTATTTTCTTCGCTCGATACTGATCGCTTGCCTATTTTGTGCCTCTACCTATGGTGACTAAAACCTTCTGTTGTTCGTAGAATGTGTTTTTTTTTATTAACATGCAAAAACCTTCCCAACGCACTTTACCAATCACCTTTTTGTCTGTGCGTAAATCCCCTCGGATACCACCCACCAGTGGCTATATCGGACTCGAACCGACCGCACATGTCCACACGCTGTCTCGGGTACGAGTATCAGTAGCCGGGCAACTAGGTGCAGGGATCCTAGAAAGGAATTTCCTGGTACCCCAAGCATAACTTGCTCGCAGAAAGACACGGTGGAGTTCCACACACACACACTCTCGCTCCGCACCATGGCCACAATCATGTAACCGAGCGAGAGAACTCCAACTCCGATGGCCGCCACAAGGCCACGTCTTTGTTCCACCCACGCCGAGCATTCTGCCAGGGTAGAACGCGGTGTTCCACGGTCCGGCCATCGCAGTGGTTGCACTACAGAAATCGTAATAATAACACACTAGAAGTCGCATAGACGCTTGAACTTGTCGCCGCAATGATGTGTAGACGAACACCACTTACAGAAATACACACCATTTGTGATTTAGCGGAGGGGAGCGTCGTAAGTAAATTGTTAAAATGGTGAACTGCTGCATAATGGGTCGCGAAAACCCATCAGGGTCGTGTAATTCAACTAAAAAAGGCATACCATTTCATCGGTAAGTTTATTTTTACTAATAAATCATTGTTTTTAATAATTCACATCTCGATTAATACTTTAATAAGATACTGCCTTTGTAAACATTCATTTATTACTTGCCGTTTTGTGCAATTACCATTGCTGCTTTGGTTCTTATTGCACGCGATGTTGACAAACTAGCGAAGCAATGTAATCATTAGATTTCGTTGTTCGTTGCGTATGTTTGTAATACGGCTGCAAGCATTGGTTGCCAGTTAGTGATTCATCACTAACGGTTCACCGTTCCATTCATTTGAATGAAATACAGATTGAAACACAAAGGCGCATAACATATACTATTCACCCACCTAGTGTCAAACTAAGCAGAGCTTATACTATGAAAGCTACACTGACTGATAGCATACTTGTATACATATTTTATTAATTATATTTTATTATTATAATATCATTTATAAGTAGGTATCATTCAAAAAAAAATTAGTATAAATCTATGGTTTTCACTGCTACTTGTAATCCATTTTATTTTAATGTATATAAAAAAACGACACCTTCGAAAAATTTTGTCTATCCCTAGCGTTGTTAACAGGGATTCTCATACATCGAAGGAGATTGTAGTAGTGCCGCATACATTGGAGTAAAATGCAATGTAATTCCTGTAGCTTAAGGTTCATAATAGTTTGTGCCCTATGCATTTCACTGTTGTTTTGCAAGTCTTATACCTATTTGTTTGTATTTTGTGTATGTGTTAAGATGTGGACACATCGGTTTTGGAAGTAATCGGGTGCTAATTCATTTCTAGTGTCTTATTATTACGATTTCTGTGGGTGGCCCTCAGGCGTTGACTCCTTGCTGATCAGACACAAGTGATCTCCGAAACATCAACTTCACGAACCACGTAATTATGACGTTTATAAATAAATATATTTTTTTAATCTAACCAATTACGAACTTACTTCGATTCCGTCACACTAGAATCTATACTAAACGGCAGGGCATTTGGTGGTTCAAACCGACAGTAACTCAAAGGTATGAACCCTTTAGTAGTGGTACAGTACAATGTGTTTGACTTTCCATGCACAGCCGTGATATTTGACTCGACTGCTGCGATATGGCCTACCACTCTGAGCTGAATGACCTTCATCGTTTCCACGCCAACTGATCGGCTTCCCATATGACATCGCCACGTTCCTGTGTCATTCGTCCTTGCTTTTATTTTTATTGAGCATTTCCCATTGTAGGTGGTCGGCCCTGTAAGCCTAAAGACAGCATATAAGTATTTTGGGCGATTCTTTGGACTTATGTTGAGTGTGTTGAACGTAACAGGGGCTGAATGTAACCAGGACCTGCACGCCAGAAGATACATATATTCTGCCATACCCTTCCACCAAACAAAGTAATTTATTTGATCGAAGGCCATACAATTATTTATAAATTAAAAAATTACAATACAGAGGATACTTGCTCATGGACAGAGGATACATTTCGAAATACAGTTCATTAATAATAAGTACAAATAAAATAATCTTCTTCATGATCTACCACTTAGGCCCTTAGCATAACATTTCTGGGACTTTTGGGATCATTAAGGTCAAGTAACTTACTTTGTAGTGTATTTTTTATTAATTTATTTACATTGACTTTAGTATAGAACCTACGTTATGAAATGAAGTAGGAAAAACTTTTATACATAAAAACATTCATGTCTATATTCCAGAAGAAGAAGAAGACAGAAGTGTATTAAACGTGCACATTTTGCCAACTATAATTTTAGTCCCACTTACGTACCTATCTAATAAGGGACAAGCCTTTTGCTTTCATATTCATTCATATACATGAGAATGTGAAAATCACAGTACAATAAAATCAAAGGTACCTCCTGCATTAGGAATATGACCTGTGTCGCGGGGACTTTACAAACATACATATAACGGACACAAAGAACAACAATTTGTGAATCACACAAAGTGTTAGGTATCCACAGTGTGTTATGTGGGGATCAAACTCACAACACTTAGCGTAGTAGAAAGCGGCGTGGCGACCATCCATCCAATCGTACAGACACTTATGATAAAATGACTTTATTTTGTATCCAATACACCACGCCATGTTATTAGAGAAACAACATAAAACAAACACACACACAGACACGTAAAAGTAAGCCTACCTATATTGCAAATATTAAAACCAATTGCGCCATATAAACCTACCTACTTTTAGAGTAATTAGTAAACAGATTAATTAAGTAAACATAATGACAGATAAATAATTCATAAGTACACGTCGATCTCAACAGGTTCAGCCATAACTGTCCTAATATAGATTCAAACAGGTACTATCGTATCTCATATGAGCCGTTTTTTTTAATAATATTTTTACTTCAACAATTTAGCAGTAGATAGAAACTATTAGGTAGGTATGAAGACTTGTGGTACACATTAATACTTACGAATATCGCTTTCCATTGGGATGCACTATTCCACAATATCTCATCGGCATATCCGTTGTGCATTCCATATTAACGTTTTCATTCTCAAGAGCCAGAATAGTTTCCACTCCATTCTGGCTGATCGTTCTAGAAGCTAAGAAAATAATGCTAACAATACCTTCTAGAATAATAACAACATGTTACAGATATCACAATTGGTCTGTTGAATTATTAAATTACACACTGACAGCGCTGGCCTTTGTCACATATGAATCAAATAAAACCATAAAAATACATACTTCAAAAATATTTAATACTAGCTATATACTGCCACGCTTCGCTCACTGAAATGGCATTAATGAGAAATAAAATTGATGAATCCTTGACGCGGGTTGTATATCGCGGCAAAATTTGAGCTCGATCGATGTAAAACTTTTTGAGTTTTTGAAGCGTACGTACAGAGACCAACTTAACATTTTTATATACTTAGATTCTATGTACTTCATACCTTTTGTATTATAGGGATAGTCGTTCATTGTTATTATTGCTAAAAATACACTCAAGAAGTTGTATTTACACATATTACAATCACAGGAGTCTCTGGCATAAACACGACTAATGAAATATGTGGCTACCCACTACAAATGAGCTACCCTCTAGATACTGATATAGTAATTACACGTCAATAGGTCCAGTTTAATGGCTTGCTTGATAACCCAAACACATTTAACATGAGTTATTATTTATTAAACATTTTAAGACACCTATTATTATTTTATTTACGTGAAAATATTATCAATGCAGAGAACTCACTTAAAATAAAAAAAGTTAAGCTTACCAGCTTAACTTTTACTCTGTGAAAAAAGAAGTGAGGCCAATTTAAACTACGCATTGCGTATGTACACGCTAGTCCATTCACAATTACACGCACACACATAATAATATAACGAAACTAGTCAAAGCCTTGACAGTCAAAATGTCAACAATATTTACAAGTAAAAATGCCGAATTGTGTTGTAAAAGGGTGTAAAAATCAAACTACAAAGGATAGATAGTAGGATGGAACCGCATTATAAACATAAGTAAGCGTGGAAGCCAATATTTTCAATAAAATAAAATTATGATGGCAGCACCGGCCCCACGCACACATGTTTATAAAACCGGGGTTACTTCGTTCTTCGCAAAGTTTCATCTTAACTTTTTTATTTGATCTGAGGCAGAGAAATGTTTAGCGATCAATTATGGTGTTAATAGGCGCACACGCACCTACGGTAAGTATGAAAGTGTTAATTCGCAAAAGGATCATTTATATTGTTTTGTGTTTACACTTTGTTTGTGATTATAGTTATTATATTACTACAGAGTTTTATTAGAAACTTACTGATTGGAGAAACACTTATACAGGATGTCCCAGAAGTCGACGTCAAGCCGGCATCGGGTGATAGGTCAAGTCATAATAGTCAACAGAAAAATAAAATGTATTTTAAACATTACAGGCATTTATAAAAAACATCGGAAAAACCTACACCTTGTGATGGTCTTTACTCCTATTACTACAAATTTTTACTTTTTTAAATTTCCTTTTATCAGATTTCGTTCAGCCGTTAAGGTATGATTACAAACATCCATCCGTCAGAACTTTTACATTTATTGTATTAAGGTTGACATGCCGTTTTCCGCAGTTTTACCTGCGTATGATGGTCACTTTGCTCCTTAGAATCGAAACGTGATGTTTTATATGTAATACAAATATGATCATTCAAATCTGTGTGATGTCGAAACTAACAAGCAAAACAATATTATATTTAACTCTCAGGTTTATAATATATGTAAGAGGACTATAATTTACACCCTGAGTCCATTGGGATATGTGCATCTGGATTGAGGGCCCATTTTTTTAATCTTTGCGAAATGAAATAAGAATTTAGGGAAATTAGTAAAAAAAAGTGAATTTCTTGAACGAGAATTAAAACTGTTAGGATTTAATAACTTGTGCCCTCCATCCAGACGCTTGCATAAAGTGGCGAGCGGAAATCTCAGAACATACTATTTAAGGTGATATTTAGATATATATTTTTCTCTTTTTTTTAAGAATTGATTAGTTAAGATTTTCTTGGAGATTTTAAGAAATGCCTAAATATGTAGAATATGACATTACAGATTTAGGGCGTGTTATGTGTAGGTCCCTCAATTCATTAATGGCTTAACTTAGAAATCTGCAAAAACACACAAAAATCGTAATAATAAGACACTAGAAATGAATTACTACTGTGTCAAGAAAGTACCGGGAAAAGATCAATAATACACAATTTTTTTTATTATTCATCCAAATTTCTTTTATCAACTTCAAAGTATACTCCTTCAGAAACGATACACTTACGACATTTTTTAAACGCTGTTTCCGGAATTGAGTTCAGTTCTCGCCGCGAATTCTCCTTTATGTCTTCTACCGATTGAAAACGGGTGCCACGAAGTGGTAATTTGAGTTTAGAAAAAAGAAAGAAGTCGTCTTCAGCCGACTATATCTGGTGAATATGGTGGTTGCTCGAAGGTATTTGTTGAGTGTTTGGTAAAAAAATCGTTCACAATGATGGCCTTGTGCGAAAGCGCATTATCGTGGTGCAAAATCCAATTTTTTTTTTCCACAATTCTGGCCTTTCTCGTCGAATTTGCTCTCCTAAATGCCACATAACGCTCAAATAATATTTGACTTTTGATTGACTTTGGCGTGGTTTTTTCGATTTCGGTTCAGTTGGAAGGCGCTACTCCGAAGCTTGTTGACTAGTTTGCATGTCAAACTCGTAAACCTACGTCTCGTCACTAGTAACAATGCGTTTCATGAATGTTGGATCGGAATTGACTCGTTCTAGCATGTCCTCAGCGACTCTCATAAGATTGAGTTTTTGGAGAAAATTCAGGTCTTTTGGGACTAGCCGAGCGGTAACATGTTTCATACCCAAATGATTAGTTAAAATGCCCATGCCTCAAAAACCATGACCTCGCTTTTCTTGATATTGTACACTAGGCCATGTCTTACGGCGTACTTCTCACATGTGAACAAGCCTTCGCAGATCACGCAGCGCCATATCATCTGCGTAGCTGACATTATTTAGACAGTTAATATCATCAATATGTCATCAAACTTTTGCGATAATAAGCTCACCGATCAGCTCGTTTATGTACAGCAGTGCTATTCTATATATTATAGTTTCTATTTTTGGTTTGTGTATTTTGTTGTTTCCATTATTTTTTTATGTAAGAAATTAATTTATATACTCTAAACTGTATGTACTATACATAAAAACATGTATTTAATTAAGAAAATTATTTCAGTCTGACATTTCTAAGGACTTAGTACTAACTAGAAGTACACACATAATAATATATTTTCCGTAAACTCTGTAATCTAGCTCTTAGACCTAGAAAATTGAGCTCATTATATCTCCTAAACTAAGACCTGACTAAATCCGTGACTCGGCGACAAATTCCGACTAATTAGCGACTATATTTGGGAAATGAAATGATAAAATGATATTTATTTCTGTAAGTAAATCTTTTCAGATATTTTTACAAGTCGGACTTTATAGCTAGAAGGAGCCGGCATTTCCTAAGACTCACTCTGGGAAGAAACGCCGAAACAAACCACAGAGGTGTCTCTTTTTTTTTTAAGTCCGTAAACAAAGTTAAATAAAACTGTGCGAGTACAGTATAGGGTCTGGATAGGCCTTTTGAGGAAAGGACCATAGTTTTGAGTCAGCCTGTCCATACAGACGGCATACAGGCTCCAGCCATCGTGCAGCCTAACCGATATTGGTCAAGATCAACGACCCGAAGCATGACACTACCGCCAGCAGGACATTTGGGTCGGCCGTGGAAACACTCAAAACCACCAGAAAGATAATAAAATATGAATTAACATTACAAGCCTACACTGTACTCACATTTACATACTTACTTACACAAAAAATAAAAAAATACTATACAGTTCAAAGTCAACGAAAAATAAAATACGAAAACAAAATACGAAATACACCAAAAAAAAAAAAAAAACTGTAATAGTGTAGTAAGCCTTTTCACATAGTTTTAGCTTTACTAAAGACTTAAATTTATTAATACTTAGTTCATGGAATTTGCTTGGCACTTTATTGTAAAATCGCACACCCTGACAACAAAAAGACATGCTTACTTTTTGTATTCTAGTGGTTGGTAACACGAGTTTTTCTTTATTTCTAGTGTTAATTTTATGCATGTCGCTAAACTTTGTGAATAAATGATTATTTTTCTTTACATACACTAAATTTTCATATATATATTGAGATGCGACTGTCATGATACCAATTTCATTAAACTTATCCCTCTGTGACTGCCTATAACTGAGATTATAAATTGCACGAATAGCTCTCTTTTGCAACACAAAGATACTTTGAATGTCAGCAGTATTTCCCCGCAACAAAATACCGTATAACATTATACTATGAAAATAGGTAAAATACACCAGTCTAGCTGTTTCTACATCGGTTAATTGACGAATTTTGTAAACCGCGTATGCTGCAGAGCTGAGTCTATTCGACAATCCGTCAATGTGTGGGCCCCATTGCAATTTAGACTCTAGTGTTATACCTAAAAACTTGGTGGTGTCCACAAGATCCAACTCCTTTCCATTTATTAGAACATTGGTCTTTACCTGCGTAACATTAGGTGTAAAAAATCTAATACATTTCGTTTTATTCTCGTTTAAAAGTAAATTATTAACATTAAACCAGTTCACAACCTTAGAGAGAGTGCAATTCACGTCATCAGTTACTGATTGCTGTCGTTTAAGTTTAAATAAAAGTCAGGAAGAAAACAGTCAGGGATTTCTCCCTGACTGTTTTCTTTCTGACTTGACAGATGACAGATCTTCGCTAGGCTTAAAGGGGACAGACGAGTAGACGGGTCACCTGACGGAAAGTGGTCATCGCTACCCATAAACGCCCTAGTTTTTGAGATACAAGCGTGGCTAAGCTGGGGAGAGCGATCCCTGCAGGGCCACCTATAAACGCTTATAACTTTTGAACCAGTGACCAACAAATTCTAATATTCGGCAACAAATTTCGCCTAATTAGCGACAAAATTTATGTCATCAAAATTATAATTCATGATGGTGGCCAGTGGCAGTGACACTACTGAGACCGTTATGGCCGGAAGGTTTGCCCTTAGTCATAGAATTACAAAATTTTCCTTTATTCCTTGAAATAAATTCATGTTTTGCAAATTCCTTAGTTAAGACATTATTTTTGGAGGGACCTAGATATATCTGTAATGTCATATTCTACATATTTGATTTATTAAAATCTCAACTAAATTCTTAAATAAAAATTGTTGACTCAGAGATAGTAGTTACTTTCTGAGATTTAGGCTAAGCCACAATGCAAGCCACAATGCAAGCGTCTGATTTGAGGGCCCAAGTTATTTATTTACTCTCTAACAGTTTTAATTCTCGTTTTAGAAATTCATGGCCCTTTGATTTACCTTGATTTGGATGGACCTTGATTTTTATACACCTAATAGGGACCACAGACCTCAGTATCTGGTATAAATTTTAACTTGCTAGGTCTACCCGTTCCTGAGAAAATCATTGGTGACACACGGACAGACAGACAGACGGACAAGAACGTGATCTTATAAGGGTTCCTTTTTTACCTTTTGAGGTACGGAACCCTAAAAATGGGCCCTCGATCCAGATGCACACCACTGCGATGGCTAATTCAATTTCTATTTTTTCCTTTTAGAGAAAATGGCAGAAATTCAAAAGACAAAGACTTTATTGTTTTTTTATGGTATGTTGGCAAACGAACAGACAGTCACCTGATGATAAGGAACTACAGCTGTCGATCATTGCCGCTCTTTAGTTGAAGAGAAGAGAAGAATTGGGAGGGCGGAGAGGGGTTCTGCCAAGGACAACGTCACTCACTTGATGAAAAGCAAGGAAAGATTTGCTTAACACCGAATTTCTGTGATATCACTGCGAAAGAGCCAGCCCCATTATAATAATAACCTCAGGCATCTCTCACGGCCGTCTGATCCTAACTAGGCAGAGCCTGTACTATGGTAACCAGACTGCTGATAAACATACTTATATATTTCTAAGTACATACATATCATAGATAAACTACACTCAGACACAGAACAAACGATCGTGCTCACTCACAATTATTTGTTCTTGGTGGGTATTGAACCCACGACCTCTAACTTAGCAGTCAGGCTCAATAGACCAACAGTTCCATTAATTATGTCTAAAGGTATGGTATCCCAAGGGCACATAATAAGAACTATCAAATTAAAAGAAAAGGCCTTAATCTTTACGTAGTATAAATTGTAAAGATTAAATCGCGGTACCTGGAGCGAGGTGCGGGCGGGGAGGCCGCATTCCACGCGTTGGTCTAAAACGCTTGGTCGAGGAGTACATTGCAAACGCTGGCTAAACCTTACGAGATCTGGGTTGGGCGGATCGCTAGTTATATAAAATATGTAGTCAGTCATCTTAAATCTCTTATTTGGGCAAATAATGTATTTTTAGACATAAATGAAACTGCTTTTACGGGAACATTTAATTAAACGTATGTACTTTTATTTTCTCAACAATATTTACAAAACGTAAGAAATCATTTCCTCCTATTTCTATTATTTCGACTCTTTGGTTCAGGTTTTTTGTCCACGGTCAGTTCTTGTTGTAGTTTCTTTAACATTTGTGGTGTGATTAGACCCTGTAACAAGTATAATATGGTTTATGTACAATCAATTGTTCTTAGATATCATTTACACACAGTTTCAAGCACTATCTTCATGTTTATGCAATAAAGATATTATTATAAGCGTGCACTTAGTTTTAATAACATTACTTTATAAGAGGTCAGTTTTGAATGATGAAATACATGTACAACGCCGTCTAGGGACTTTATATTATTAGTACAATTATTATAACACAGTCTGCCGCCGCGTCTGCCTTTCTTTTCGCGATATACTTAAAAACTATTGAACGGATTTTCATGTGGATTTTACCAATGTACAGAGTAAGTCATGAAGAAAGTTTAAGTATACTTATTAACGTTTTGTGTAAATTAGTTGAAAAATGACGATAATTAACAGGTAGAAATAATATGCTCTTAGTTGTATATTCGGTGCGTTTAGTTGTATATATCTTCATATATTTTTTATTTATCCAACGTCGTTGATGACTATTACAACCATAAATCACGTCCTACAGAAAACGTATTGAGACCACTAAATACAATTATTTTATAAGTAAGTTGAACTATGACACACTGAAATAAGGTTGTCATTCAAGTATCTTATATGACGGAGGACCGTTGTCTGTGTTGTTTTTTAAAAGAGTGACGTCAACAAAGCTGACATCATTTTTTACATTGTCGTGGTTTTCCTTTGTAAAAGATGTAGTAAATAACAACAGTAAATACATTCAAAGATGTATTCCAACTTCTTACCAACAGTCGCACATAGAGCTGTACGGTAGTAAATAAAGACAACAGTAAATACAATTAAACATGTATATTATTAGTTATTTCTTAACACTTACTATAAAAACTTCAATTATAATCAATTAGAATCTACTGTGTCAGGTGTAACCTAAGTGAGGTAGTTACTAGTTGGTCAGATATATACAATAATAAATAAAATGGTTAATTTTACTGCATTTTTTTTCTTAACAGCCCATATAAAAGAATTGCAGGCTTTTATGTACTTACCCTAGCCACGAGCATTTCGGAGAGCTTCCCCTTGTCGTCGCCTTTATGTCTGTAGTGGGAGCCGCCCCTCAGAGGTCGCCTGCTAGCTATATTTGTGTCCTCATCAGGCTGGTCACGGAATACCTGCTCAGAGTTTCTCAGCAACCTGCCATTTGCAAAGGAGAGTTTTAAATATTTTTTTATTTTTTTATTATGTCAAATAGTCTGCACGAATGGCGTAGTGGTTAAGGCGGTCACCTCGCCGCTACTGCGCTGAGTGTTGTGGGTTCGATCCCCAAATGGGACAACACTTTTGATAGCCAGAAATTGTTGTTTTGAATCTGGGTGTTCTTTGTGTCCGTTTCATGTATGTTTGTAAAGCAACCGCAACACAAAATATTATCATATAACGGGAGTTGTCTTTTAAAAAAGAAATTGACATAAAATAACTATTTGCTTTGTGTACAATAAATAATTCTAATCGGTGGGAGAATTTTGCTTGCGAGATTCAGGATTAGTAGTTATTAACTTGTTCAATTTTTCTAAACCAGATGGCGCTAAGAATATTCACATTTAGCGTACAAAAATAACAAAATAAAAATGTTCACCTAGTTATTTGAAATATTCCTTGCTGTATTATTGCATCAAGTTCCGTTTCCATGTCGCGTACCAACTTGACGTCCGGGAACATATCGGCGAATCGATAGCTGTAAATAAATTTATTTATCGATTGCATTTATTTCAAAACATAGGAAAAGAGGCGGCAGTTTAAATTACATTTAACATATTTTTGCAACTTTTATTAAACGAAAATTGCAAATGAAAACCTTTTTCAAATCTTACCTTAACCATAGATAAAGTTCGAGTACATCGAATACAGATTCAAGATGTACTAAATCCATAATTGTCTTTGGTGAAGGTAAGGGCCAGTCGACACAGTTACACAGCCAGTTTTTCGTTAGTGGCTCGTTCCGACTGTACTGGCGAACCATCTGTCGGTAAACGAAAATATTTAATACGTACAGTATTTGTAAAAAAATATATATTCAGTGCAAGTCAGAGTATTCAGTGTCAATATCTCGATCATTCTAACTGAGGAGATGCCTCAGGTATACAGACCAACTAGTTGTGTGTTAAATCCGAGCTATTTAATCATTTCGAATGAAAGAAAGAATTATGAATGAAAGGTACTTACTATTGAGGATTTTCTTGTATCCTTATATTGCGTATTCGCATAATTTTGCGATGGCCGAATGAACAAATATACATTGATTTTATATTTTACATGGTACTTAGAAGTAGTAAGAAGTGTGCGGGCGAGTACCTTGAGGAATGTAGCGCAGACGAAGGGCAGCTTGTTGTTGATGGGCGCGCAGCAGAACACGTAGCGCGCGCGCAGCGGCAGCGGCACGTGCTGGATCATCTCCGCCAGGAACTTGAACCCCTCCGTGTTGCACATGAAGTACAGCGAGTCGTCCACCGTGCACAGGTGCACGAATATATCCTAACCAAAAATGGTCGATTTACTTCTATTGGTGGCTCATATTTTCGCTGTATTTTATTACCATAATTGAATCGTTATTCTTCCATCTATCCATCCATTCATCCATTTCTACATAGTTATTGCGGGCAGAAAAAATAGTGGTGGAATTTTGAGCGGACAAAATTGAGAGATCATCGTCATATCAACGCGTGAACACTCGCGCGTTGATACGACGAAGAAGGAGGACTATTTTAATAACAGGAAACTACCCTATTGCGAAACACACCATAACATTAAAATAAAACGATTCTTTAACTGGGTGCTTCTAAATTTATTGGGTGTTATCGAAAATTGACAAGTCAACCTCGTTAAAGAATGTCGCAAGGTCATATGGATAACAGATTACGTAAATAAAACTATATTTTGTGTGATGACCATATACGAAGTACGAGCACGACAGCATGTTTCAATGAACACACCAGGAGCAATTATATATTTAAAGATTATCGTACAAATAAACTGACGTGGAACTACCATCTATATTTTTTTTTGTTTTTAGGCTGCAAATTTTAATTCAAAATTCGAGTACATGAAGATGTAATTTACATTAAATGCAATTTTTTTACAAGAAAATTTACCAAAGTCGATCATATAATAAGCGTAAGCATTTTAAGTACCCTTTTTTATGCACGCCAGTTTACTATAAATAGAAAATTAAGCGTAGGACACTTTAAAAGGAACGAAACATACCATTAGACTGCTAAGTGTTGCATGAGGTAGATGATAAGCATACAGCTCCAGTTGCTCAGCGGTGGGATGGAGACCCGCTTGAGTCACTTTGTCCGGCGGCTTGGATAACAATTGCTTGAGAGTCGCCAAGTCTTCTGGTTTATATGTTGTGACGTAACCAGTTTCCCACGCGCTTCCGTAACGACCTGCCCGACCTATAATTCAAAAATAAACTTATTATGTTTTATATCTATATTATAATAATAATAATAAATAACCTCACACATCTTACACACCCATCTGATCCCAGTAACCAGACTGCTAATAAACATATTTATATATTACTATGTAAATACATACATATTACCTACATATAGTTTGCGGCCAGAAACAGAACAAAAAATGATTTATGCTCATCACGTAATTCATTGTCCTTGGTGCAAATCGAACCCACGACCTCTGGCTTAGTAGTCAGGATCACTATCCACTAAACTAACAGGCCAAAATATATATTTAAAATAATTTTAAAATTAATAACTTTAATTAACTAATAATAAGTCAACTCAACTACTTAAAAGAGGAGGTTGCTTAGTATGAAAGATCGCGGCGTCCCCCTCCTGCCCGCGACGTCTGCGGTAGTACCGGCCGGCTTCGCTTGCTGACCGCTCGTTCATGAATGTCACGTACATCAGTTGCAACACAAGATTATTCGCAATATTCTTGTAATTTCATTATCTAACAGTACTACTTTTATCTCTTTACTTTACTAGTAATATAAGAGAAAGAGTGTGTATTAAAACTTTCTATGTATTGGGTGGTTTATTCTACATTTACATAAGACTACAAATACTTATAATACTGTTTCATATAATTTGTTCAACCTTTTATTCAATATTTTAAACGGAATACATACCCGAGATACTGCCATGTAGGTAAAATATAGTAAAGTTAGGCAAGTACTATTTTATGCACCTAACTACCTGCTATTCTTTGATTTGACAAAAGCAAATTTCTGTCTTGTCTAAGGAAATGTTTTTTGTGACAATCCTTGCACATTTTTAGCGATTAGGCGTCGAGAAAATCTTGTAGGTATTTAGTTGTCTGTCAAGGGAGTTGACTAACTATTAGTACTTATTTTCCAATGGTATTATTAAGACTAGCAGAATACCGATTTAATTTGCGGTCAACAACAACAATACGATATAAACACATTACAGTCAACGTTGGATGTTTAATACTTTACTACGAGAATACCTTTTATGACATTTCGAGTAGATCGGAACTGAATTTTGAACGAATTTAGAATTGACCTGCTCAAAAGCTAAGTGTAGAAAGAGGTTAATGCACTGAAAGCATTCTTTAGATTTCATTAAATCTAAAACACGATAAAAATAAGGACATGTAGAATGTTAGATAGTACATCTTTTTAACAATTGTTGTGTAACAAAGTCTCACCAGCAATTTGTAACGCCTGAGATATACTGATAACATCCATTTCTTTATCACCATCTTCATTAACCACTGGCTTTACTAACGAATAGAATATAATTCTTCGTATACTCCTGAAAGGTATTTATTTTCGTGAAATAACATCAAAATAATAATATATATTTTTTATTTAACAATTCCGGCAGCAGGAACATATCCTGTGTCGCAGGGGACTTTGCAAACATACATGAAACGAACACCCAGACTCAGAACAATAATTTATGGATCACGCAAAGTGTGGTCCCGTGTGGGGATCGGACCTACAACATTCAGGCTCACTAGGAAGCGGCGAGGTGACTGCTTTAACTACTACGCCATCTGTGCATAATATTTCGGACATCTGACACACAGCGCCATCTAGCCCAAATTAAGCAGAACTTATACTATGGGCACTAGACAACTGATATAAATACATATATCCTTTTTTTGTTTTGTCAATACATACATATTTAAGGGAAGGTTCGATTTCCGCTCAACTCAAACAGTTGTGTACTTGGACATTTAATGTTTGATTTGGTCTGGATGTTTCTATGTATTTAGAAAAAAAGAAGTATATATGTATTTATATCATTTGTCTGGTACCTATATTACAAGCTGTGCTTAGTTTGGGATTAGATGGCGTTGTGTGAATGTGGTAGAATATTATTAATATATCTATGTATATCTTTAAATAATAATTGCAGTAATAGTTTCAATTGTTTAGGAAATAAAGGTAAACACTTACAGATTAATGCCAAGTCCTATTGCATCTGTGGCCACCATGACTTTGCAAGCACTGTTGGGGTCATTGAACTTATTAGCTTGTGCCAACTTAGTGCCAGGTGGAAGACTACCGTAAATCACTGCTACTTCTCGACCCCTAAAATAAAACGACTTTTCAAAAAGGAATTAAAAAAATGTAGAATTTTCATGCCGGGATTTCGGGATTTTGTATAATCCCAAGACTGTGTTCCCACAGATCTGGTCTTGCAATGTTCAGATGGATAAAATCGTACCCAGATAACCGAGTAAATAAAAATTAAGTTATTGCATGAATACAGTCACACACTGCAAATTCACCTAAATAAAACTTTCATTTTGTATTGGAGATTACCTTGTGTATACTACAAACTCACAAACGTCGTGAGTCTCAGTTACTTATTTGCTATATTAGTTAGTTACTATATTATACTAAATAATTTATTATACTCATGTCATTTATGTTTAAGCACTGAGGGTAGGGTGCCGATTGTATGAGATATGATAATACATCCCCATAACTCACGTGCGAAATTCCGTCATTAAGGTAGCATAATAAACGGCAGGAAAACTCTATAGCTCTCAGCCCTTCGCCAGAATATTGCAGCTAAAATAATCATGAACATTGGCCCTAATGTGTGACCACAATCGGTGCGGTATTGATGCAACTAAAATATAACTTACCTTACAAATATAATCACAAATCACTTAATATTTGAAATGCCAACCGATTGCCTCCCATTTACTATATCTTAGATAATACAGTTCCAGAAAAAATTACCATCCAGCATAATAAAAAATTATTTTGATTAACACTTTTTATGGAGGCTATACGTTATATCTTGCCCAAAATACTTTATATTAATTGGATACCTGCCTCACATGGGACTGACCTCTGTTCTATGGCTCGACTTACACTGTATATGTCGTTTTTATTGAAACACACGATACAGTCGCCTTCCTTTACATTATCCAGAGATCCTAACGCTGAATGCTCAACTTTCAGTTCTGTTAACCTTTTGTATGTACGGACCTGTAAGTAACACAATCTATGTCATACCAGTTTGCACTCATTTTTCAACTTGACAGATGAGCGAAATGTTCTGTTAACAGTGTATTAACGAAGAACTAGTAGTAGTTGTAGGTGGTATAACACTATTGCATTGGGCTAAGCCTGTAAAAATAGTTGTTTTTAAAGAAAATAAATAAATAAATAAATAAATAACTTCATATTCCCATTTTGCACAGCATTAATTTTTTTCGTATTTAAACATAAATTGGACTGTGTTAAGCAGAAAACATTAAATCCAAAACTGGTTAAAATAACAATAAAATTATTGTTAATAAAATTGTTTTTGTGATAAGAATTTCTAAGCATTACAATAAGGGTTTTTTTTTAATATTATAAACTAACCCTAATGCCCTAACAGCATATACAATTAAGGCTTAGCACTACTATCATATAATCCTTTGATATTTTTTTACCTCTAGCTCTTCACCAGTAGTATTGCATATTTCTTCGATGAGTTCTATAGATCCAGCTTCACCACACAAATGGAGCTCTTCAGCTTGTAATCCTGTAATTTCAACAATCAATTTTGTAACTTAACGAAGCATTAATAAAGTTCAATTTTATCTTGATGTAAATTGTTACCTAGAATAGCTCTCGTCCACGCCCACCCTCTGCCTCTGTCACCAATCATTTGAATTTCATCTATTATTGCAACTTCATCTAGTAAAAAAATACAAATTTATTTTGCTATCCATTTTGTTATGATATGTAAATGACGATATGATGGATTAACGAACAGATGGGTCACCTAATAGAAAGTGGAAGTGAGTAAAATATACAATATATCATTCACTCCTATAAAATGTATCACTCACTCAAACTAGCTCCGAATGTATCGGTACCTATCTTTTCAGCTCAGTGATACATTTTGCGCATTACTAGTCACAAGCGCGTTGTGAGGCTTTGTAAGTAGGAAACGAACTGATACTTTTCTTGAAAAGCTCGTATCAGTTCGGAAATACCTCAGGCGCCAATTAGTGATACGCCGATCTAATCCGATCTTTTCGAAGATCGGATCATGGGCATCGGATCGTAACCATGCGATCGGATCGCGGATCGTTTCGAATCTATAAAATATCGGATCGCGGTCCAAACATTGTGGTTTGCACACAATGTCATCTAGATATGTTAATATTTGGGCAGACTTTAGTTTACATTATTATTGGCGTATGTTATGTAGGTGACGGCGGGTAGAAAGATGACAAGAAATAAACAATAAGTTTGTTTTTATTATTTCTAAGAAATAACGTAGGTAGGTATTATGCGAAATTGCGAATATCTATGACTACGAATATTTTATTACATCATTTATTGTTTCATTGTGTTGCTTTAAATAACAAGTCTAATTCTTAAAATGCACCGCTTATAAAATCTAGTGCATGGTCTAATTTTATAAAAAAACCTGATATAGCGAAATGTAAACCATGTTTAATTGTCGTGAAAACAAGTGGAAATACAACAAACCCAAAGACACAAAAAGACATCACCCGGTCCTTTATCCACCAAGTGTAAATACGACAGTAATTAATGTGATGGGATCAAAGCTGCCCCAGATTGACAACACATTCTCAGACATTAAGTTAAATACCCAATCCTTTTTTGTTCGGAATAAATGTCACTATATTAATTATATTTTGCATCATCATCGTCATCATCATCATCAGTTAAATAATACAAACTGTAAATGATTTTAAATCGACTTATTACATTTGGATTTCAAGGATTGATATTAAAACTAATCCCTGTAACCCAGACAGGCTGTAAATGGAGTTATGTTATTATTAACACCTACATACATTTTTTGTATTAAACAGTATAAAATATAATTTTTCATTTCATCACACCCATGTAGTAGTGACTTACACGCATGATTTAATGATGTCATTTCTACAGTACAAGCCACATGATTTGATGGGGTCATTTCTATTTCGTTGCTTATAAAAGGTTCTGTTTCTTGCGTTTCAGTTACTTGTTCATTCAATAATACATTGTATAATGAAGCATGTCTTCTTTCTTCACCTGTTATTAAGTCACATGGTGTACCCTGTAAAGTAGTTATAAGACAGCTGATCAAACTCAGGTAGGTCAGGTACTTGATAACTGGGAACCATAGTGAAATGTAAAAAAATTAAGATACAGAGTTAAACTATTAGAATATACTTACACGTTTATTAGCCTTATGGTAAATTTCAGTTGCCAACAACTTCAGAGGGCCACAGTAGACACCAGATTTGGCTTCTAAGAACCTTTCCATAGCATGGTAAGTCTTTCCGGAGTTTGTTGGACCAGCATGGAAGATTATTTTCCGTGTTTTACTTCTTGCCTCTGGGTACCTAAATTCAATAAAATTATAATTATGAAAACATATTTCTAAGAGTTATAGAAATAGATAGATGAAATCGATAATAGTATCTACTTTCAGACCCAATTCTGTGACCTTCCACTCTCTCAACCGCTGAAGATCTGACACATTTGCACATCTTGTACCAACAGCATTACTACAAACCCCTTTACTACAAAATATTATTACTACAGATTCAACACCATCCTTTAATAGTCAACTTCTATATATAGGTATCTCCTTAGGAAGGAGGTAAACTAACTACAAATTAAATACTGAAAATCTACATGATTCTAAGCATAGTGCAAACAGAGATTAACAGTTACGGTGCTGATGAATTATACCACACAACATGTAAATAAAAAATAACTTTCAGAATAAATTAATAGTGTTTAATATTCAGAGCTTGCTTCTAAACATTCTTCAAATGGTTGTAAATATGTGCATTCCTATGAGTGAAAGCACTGTTGACATTGTCAATGACTACAAATTTTTGTTATTTGTTCCTACTTTAAGGAGTAATTCTTAGGAAAGTTAGCTATGAGTAAGTGGCTTTCTTGTATAAGTATAATTTTGTTTAAAAGACCCCTTGACAAGTCATCATCAACAGCCTCTAATAGTCCACTGCTGGACATAGGCCTCTCCTTAGAAAGGAGGTTTTGGGCTACTATACTCCTTTGTTTTCCTTCTAATGTGGTCATATAAGTAGTTTGCTCCCTTAGTCCGCTATTACGTGACCCATGGGATGAATAGGGGTGGTGACACTCTGTATTCTAAATCCATCACCACACTTGAGAAGTGATGAGTGTTTATTATCCAGTAAATACTTCTTTTAATTAAAAGTATTTCTCCTAACAAAGTGAAAGTTCATTATCAATTGGATTGATTCCAACTAAATTAAAGTAATAAACATAAAATCTGAAAAATACATTAGTGCTGTGCTTTTTGTACTAACCAATTGGCAGGTGTCCTTAAGTCTGATATTTGTTTTAAGTCCTCTAGGCAGTCTAAATGAGGAAATGCCTGTCTTGCATGTCTTAAAAAATATGGAAATAAATCGTCAACATGTCCAGCACCTGAAATCAAGAACAAATTATTCTTTTAAATTGGCTTGATTTATCAACTGAGGAGTCAATAGTCTCCACAGTTGATGAAAGCAGCGATGCCTTTTATCATTGAATGTGGAAACATGACTATTGAACTTAAGCTACAAAAAATCTATTCTATTCTATTTTTTTCTATGGCAAGCGATGCCAATGACGACAATTCTGCCAATGTCAGTCGTAAGCTGAAGTGTGTGCAATAAGAGAAAAATCGTCGTTGCAAATCTTGTTATGGAGTTAGAACACTGAAACAAGTATTATGAACAATACAACACAATTCTAGTTACAGATACAAATTGTACATATTTAAAACAGTAATAATAATAACGGAAAAAGAAATGGACGAACAACATAACGCTTAAAAGCAGTGGTCAGGAAGAATGGGTTAGGAGGGAGGCAAAGTTTATTGGAAGAGGGATGTTCAATTTTATTAATTTACTATACAGACTGGGGAATGAGTTATTAAGGGGGCAACAAAAAAATGTATGTTCTAGGGTACCCTCGTCGAGGCCACATTCACATAAAGAGGAGTCTTGTACACAAATTTATTGTAAAAATACTGAAGAGCAACAATTACAGTTTTTGCAGTTTTTTTGTGTTGGTAGAACAGTTTGGAGTAATATTTGGTTGTACTGCATAATAGTATTTGCCTTTCTTCTTGCTGGAGTTATTCCACTGGGATTGCCATGAAGACAACAGTATCTTTTTGGGTATGGGCTATAAGTCATATCCTTGATTATAGTAAGTAGTGCTTAAGGTTTACAGTCACAGGTTTGCAGGGTGCTAAGATGGCACTTTTAGCCAGCATATCCACCAACTCATTGCCCCTGATGTATAATAATCACAAAAACACTTAATATTTGTAAACTTTCAAGGCACATGTGCTATCCATACACCAACAAAAATCAAACTGGCCTTCAGGAGTGCATTGTTAAAATGTTTTTTTTTTTTAATTTAACTTTAATAAACATCACATTTGACAAATGCATTTGCAAACAAATAAACACTACAAGACAATATACCTATACTATCAGTAGCTGCAGCCAGTTTATAAATAAAATATCTACGTTATCAAAACTGAGTCTCGAGCCAAATACGAAGAAGTAATGAACGCGGAAACAACTTCTTACCTTGTAATATATCACTAATTGTTATGTGCAGATCTGGAGGTAGATCGTGTTCTAAACAATGTCTTCTGAATGATAAAAACGCTTGATGCAATAATTGATCGTCTAAACCATTTTCGGCAGCCAGCCCTCGCACCTCAGGTTTTTGATAGAATTTGTTTAGAATTTTAAGTAGATCTTGTTTCTTCAGACGTCCCGTAAATTCTTCTCCAATGTTTATGTCATCTGGATTCGGTTTCACAGGTACAGGAACAAATAGTGCCAAAGGATGACCGCGGTCGTGTTTCTTGGTCCTCACGAAAATATAACCTAAACGGCCTATTTTGTCTCTATGTGTACAAATTACGTTGCTGGTAAGAAAAGGATAAACATTTTGTATTTTATTACAACGATAAATGGCTAATATTTTTGTGAATCCTTTATACATATTAATTAATTAAACAAAATAAATTTACTAAAATTTTTCGATAATTATCCTCAGCTGTCATTCCCGGAGTTGTTAGCAGTGACAGCTACGGTAGTATTACCATTATTACTAAATCCTGATATTATTTCCCCTTAAAGTTGAATAAAGTTCAGAAATCTCTTAGAGCCGTCATTCACTCCAACACGTCTTTTGCCGTTTTCGACATAGAGATCATACAGATAAAGGAAAGAAGCGAGCCATGATCTGAGGACGTTGGTAGGAAAAGAAAAAAGGCTGCGATTTACATGCGTCTCTCTTGGACCTCTTCACTGATTTGATGGCTCGATGTAGACGAGGGGAGAGAGGAAAGAGAGCAAGGAGCAGACATCAAATGAGCAGTAGAGATCCAAAATATAACCAATGCAGCTGTGTTTATTATGTAGTAGTTAGTAACAGTTTCTAAAAGCGATCCGCCCCGGCTTCGCACGTGTGCAATGTAGATACTACTAATGTGGTGTCAGTGTGAACTAATTAATTATATTATGATATTATTATGATAGCATTATGCTACAGGACATCTATATGTGCAATATTTATAGGCCTGATCCGATCATACCAGCCGCTGTTACCAGGGATGGACTTACGGGTCGACGACCGTTGGGCCCCGCATTTTAAACCTCTAATATCTCCTTAAATATTAATTTAAATTTAATTTAAATTAAGAGCAATTTTAATGTACATAAAATGCACAACGTATCTAACGTATTTATTGGGAAGGTAGGTAAGGAATAATAATGTATTGCTTAAAATAGCTTCGTAAATAATCCATTATTGTTAGGTTATGTTATATATTTGGTTATCTTTAGGAGATAGATATATACCATCCCGGCCTTTTTTGCAGATCTTTTTAAGATATACAATTCTATAGTACATTATTTTAGTTTACCTCGTTAGGTTTGACAAATCTTTGAAATTCTCGGATTGCCTCTATTTAAATATGCATGTATTATACATATGAACCTTCCGCTTGAATCGCTCTCTCTATTTGTGAAAACCGTATTAAAATCCGTTGCTTAGTTTAAAAGATCTAAGAGTACAAAAAAGCTATTTTTTTATACTATGTAAAGATTTAAGTTCATCATTTCATAAATCAGTAACAAGTACAAACGAGGTACAAGATCTAAGTATTTATACTATTTCGAACATAAATTGTGAATATATAAAAAAACTACATTATGTAAAATATGTTAAATGTATGGTTATATATGTATGGTATATATATGGGTGTATGTATATATATGGTTGATATGCTATGAATAATTTGATTTAGAAAATATAACTGGATCCTTTTAACACTCCCAGAAATTAGTACAACAATAAAAATTTCACATTTTGTCCCAAGAACAAGAACTGCCACAAAAACATCCCAAAACAAATTGAGCATCCCACACATGCTATACAGACACCATTCACCACGTTCACTCACACACACTACTCCACATACAAACTACATAATTGCTATCTGTTTAGTTATATTTGAGATTCACTGTATTAGGTATATTCATACAGAATGTTTACTCTTGCTTTACCTTTAATTATCGGCATTAATTAAAATCGGACGTTATTAAAGTCTTAGTAATGCTCTAAGACTTATTAACGTTCGACTTTTTCCGTTCCGTTCCAAACGGAGTGGACGCCGCTGCATGGGCGTATCCACAGTTGGGCAAGGTGGGCGTTTGCTCACCCTCCACCCTGACTTACACCGGTGACGAAAAATTGAAAACATGTACAAGTACAGGTTTCAATGCAACACCGAAATTAGAATAATATTATTATGAAGACAAGACTTTGGTGTTCTGTATGGAAGAAGATTGAGCTAAAAATTGAGCAAAGCAAATCCTGATCAATCTTGAAGTAAGTCATGGTAAGACTTCGGCCAGCATCAGTTTGAACTATTTGCAACTGGGTGAGTTATTCTACCTCCAGTAGCGTGCTTTAAAAGTACGTTGTCTAGCCCTGGAGCGAAGTTAGTCAAAAGCAGTGACAGAAGAATGATTGGGTCGGCTGCCGAAATTGCCAAAGCTCTCCCGGGAGTCTATTCCAAAGATGAAGCTAGTGTATATGTTTTTTAGGCTATAATCTATTTCTGTGCTAAATTTCATCCAGATCCGTACTGGTATATCAATCGCCTGCTTTTGTGCTATTGAAGAAAACAGGAGGGTACAAAATGCTGGGCAGGTGCTGGTGTGTTTAAGAACTCAAGCCATATGGTTACCGCAAGATTTCACCCAGACGGCTCTAAATATAACTTCTTTAGTAAATCTAAAAATAAACAGATTTTAAATAATTAATATAATACTGAAAAATCGATGTTGTGATTGTGCTTTCAACACCCTAATCATGTTGAAGTGTGACCATCTTCTTAAGAAACAAATTCTCTCATTTTCTAATGTGATATAAATAACGAAAGTAATTTCTTTTTTGCAAATAAATTACACTATTCTTATATTATTTCATTTTATTATCTAATTTTACTTCATTGTTTATTCTTAATTTGTTATAGAGAAAACATTGGAAAGAATAAAAATATTTAAATATGTTATTCTGTACCTATCAATAAATATCTCATATGATAACATATAAGATATGTATTAACAAAGTGAATTGTAAAATAGATTTAAATTTAATTACAAAGCACACAATTTGAAATATTTTCCCAGCATAAATCATTGGTGACAAAGATGGCAACACTTGTTAATGGGTGTATATTATTGTTAAATTGTTAATTTAATACATTATTTAATAATATTCGAAATATTATTCCATGTTTATTTGATTTATCTGATCGCTTTTTACACCGAAATGCACTACAACACGGCATTTTTATTGGAGTATCAAGTAACGTTATTACAGATTACTTCTGACGAATGACGCGAAACGCGCTGCAATCAGTTTTGTGAAACGTCGGAATAATAAAATTAATATTCATAGACGTTGGGGTGGAATAAAATCACAAGCACTTGTGATAAATCATACGAATTATAAACTATATTATTACACCTGTGACTGATAAAACCATTGCTACTTAATTATCATTATTACGCCATCCCAATTAAAAATGTTTTATACTACCATATAAAATTACTTACGAGTACATATATTCCTAAAATGCTTTAAAACCAGATCATAAACTTCTCGTACATTTTTTCTGACTCGTAGGAAAGTCGAAATCACGAGTGAAATAAATTGTCATCGCTAGAAAGTATAATTCCTATCGGTGACAAATTGATCATTGTTTTATTCTTATCTTTAACTGATGTCCTTCCTGATATAGTCTTTGTAGTATTTTTTTTTTGTAAGGAGAGTACAATTTCGTATTTTTTTTATGTATTTGAATTATGTACGATGCCATGTTGCCGCTAGAAGGCATGACACATTTTAACCTTTTACGAAAAAAGTCACAAAGTCATGAATAAACTGTGATAACACTTTAACAGCAATAAATAATAATTAAAAAGCCAAAATAATTTAAAGTTACTCCTGCCATTGAAAGAAAATAGTTGAATATCTATCTGTTTTCAACAGACAGATTTTTCTTGCACTGGTAATGCTACAATCTGTCTACTCTATTTTTTACTTGCATTTATGTTACCACGATAAAAAATCACGAAAAAGACAGTATAGTGACGTGACGTGAGCAGTATCGCCCGCTTAGTGGATTTTCCACTAAAACTGGTGGTTTCGACCCCCCATTTAGTGTCGAAACTTTGCTTTAAGTGGCTAGTGGATTTTTGTGTGGTTTTGTAGTAATAGTAAGATTGTAGAGACTTAGAAAATGCTGTTGAAAAGTTAACTTTGAGAATTGTTTGTGACGCAAACCTCAAGAATGTTTGTTAGGAAAGCAGAGGCGGATTAAGTATCAAGAGCGCCATAAGCAAGCATCTTACCGGCACCCACCGCATCTCTCTATCTCCCATACTTTGTAAATTTTTGTTACTAGTTGATGTTACTAAATGTGTGATGGTGATAACTCCTAGTTAGCATTTTATTATATAAGAGGATGCTATCATTTCTTAACTGCACCTTTTTTTTACTTTTTAAGTGTGTAACCCCTCCATGGGCTGTCACCCCACCGGGGTAAGCGGTGGGTCGGTGTATCTGAATCGAACCGACTAAAACTACACGGTGTGTAAACTGAGAATGAAATACCTGGCCTGGCGGACCGAGAGAGTTCTAAGCCTCTACAGAAACAACTCCGCCCTTTCCTTCTCAAGCATAATTTGCTCCCAGAAGGAGGTGGCGAAATTCCACGCGCTTTCGCCCCTTACCATGGCGGCAAACATGTCACGAGGCCATGCCTCTGCTCCACCTACGCCGGGCAACTAGAAAAAATTTATGGTTGACAAAATTCAATCTGGGAAGTCTAGCCATAAAATTCAGGGTCCGACTCTATATTTAATGATCCGAATTTAATGATCCGGTTGAGTAGCAGAAGAGAAATTAAGATTGATATCATTTAAACCAATGAAACTCGGTCCGTTGTTGTCTACCAATACCCAACGTGTTACTTCCACATAATAGAGATATTACTCTTCAAAGATGCCCAGGGGCCAAAGGACTTCGACATCTGAAGAATTAGCGACCTTTGGTATTACTCTCTTAATACTGCTTCATTTCAATGCCATTGTTAAGTTGAGAAACTATAGGTATTAAACAGAGAAATATAATATAGTTAAATCTTTTAACTGTTATGTTGAGAATACGCTGTGGTTTGAAGTTTGAAAGAAAGTTTGGTTTGAAAGAGAATGCTGCAACAAATGTGAAATACAAATAAACATTGAAAAACAAATCGGTACCAAAGAACCGTGTTAATTTGTAACCGACGATGATCTTGCTGACAAAAGCGATTAGTATCAGTAGTTCATTTTGATAAAGGAAGCTTATGGTTTTCTTGCCTTGTTACAAAAAAAATGTTTAGTATAAAATTTCGTGCCTATTAGAGTAGGGTCGTTTTGCGTAGGTGGATTTCTGGAGGTTTTAGATTTTAAATCTGGTGGAGAGTTCATTTAAATGTTGGCAACACTAGACTTGAGTGCAGGTCGGACACGACGACGTCTCGATTGTAATAATTTTCGGCTGTAACAATTGTCCTGTGCTTTGATCACATTTCACATGATAGAATACACAAAATATACGGTAATAGGCCACTACATTCCTGGGATCGTGACTTAATATTATAGCATACTATCACAATGGGAAAGGCTAAAAAGGGGAAGAAGAACCTGACTGCAGACGATGGGTAAGATTTGTCAATGGCATATGTTTTTGTTACGATTTGTTAATTATATACATTGAAGCTAATTTTATACAATTCGTTGCAGTGACAGTGATGTAGAAACCACTAACGTTGATAACATTAAACCGGCGCAGAAGGGGAAGAAGTAAGTAATTTTAGGTTAACCAGTCACAAATTTTAATAGAGCTGGGTGTAGTTCATTGTTCATTATATATATAATAATTATTTCGTAGAATAACAGGTATAAAGTGTATTTAGATACCATTTAGTGTACGCTCAATTTGCTAGCATTATTTAACCATTAAAAAACTGGTTAATTTTTCATTTTTGTTAGTAAATGATTTTGTAAAATTAAGTTTCATTAATCTTTTAGATTCTAAGCTAAGTTTTCAATTTAATTTAGTTCATTATTAGTTTATCTGTAAAAGTTGCATATTAGTTTTATTGTTTCTTAGAAAAATTGCTCCACAAACCTGTAGAAACATAGAAACATTTATAAATCAAAAGTGTTATTACTGCTTTGATCATATTTGACATGTAAAGTTTACAGCATAACACTTAGAAACTATAGGATTGTGTAATTTTGATTATGAATACCTACAGAACATGTTTAACATGTAATAATAATTTCATATACCTTACACACGGCAGTCTGATCCCAAAATAAGCAGAGCCAGTGTTATGGTGACAGGACTGCTGATAAACATATTTAAAAATATTTCTCCATATAGACAAATTACACTCAGACATAAAACAAATGATTGTGCTCATCACACAAATAATTTGTCCTGTTTGGGAAACAAACCTATGACCTACAGCTCAACAGTCAGCATTACTAACACTTACTACCAGTTAGCAAGACAATATGGTAGTATTATACTTGTTATCTGGTAGTAGTATACATGCTAAGATCCACTATTTATAAGCCCATAGTACCACATAGGGCCACATTAAGCGGATGTAAATTTTAAATGAATTATGCAAGCTTTTATTAACCTTAAATGTAAGCATAGTGCAAAGCATGACTGCACAGATGGCATAGTGGTTTAAGCGGACGCAACGCCGCTTTATACTACGCCGAGTGTTGTGGGTTCAAACCCCACATGGGACGACATTTGTGTGATCCACAAGTTGTTGTTTTGAGTCTGGGTGTTTTTTGTGTCCGTTTCATGTATGTTTGTAAAGTCCCCTGCGACACAGGATATTTTCTCAAAAATTATGAAAAAGTACTTGTTTTCATAAATAAACAAACCAAATTTTCGTTATGATGAGTCATCCTCTGCAGGGCAAGTCTTCAGAGAGATAAACAGCACTATTGCACCCTATTTTGCAACCAAAAAATATATCATTATACATTGAATGGTGACAAGCTATCTATAAAATTATCTAAAAAATAATTGTTATGTATGTGTCACACCATTACTTGCATGCTTGCTCCATCCATTGGGCTGATTTCTTGTTGTTGTGATGGTTTTAATGACATTTTAATTTATGGAAAAATCTTTATGATGCATTTTGACATTGCTTTTATAGGGCCCAGCTTGAAAGCCCTGTGGACACATGTTGGTGTGTGTCTGTTTGTGTGATTAGACCAAGTAGCCTAGCAATCAAGGTCTAGTTATGTGTTTATTTAAAAAAAAAAGAATTGCTTTTACCATATATGTATATAACTATGATAACAGAAATGGTTTAGGCAATCAATTGCTTATATACATAAGACAGACACGGCTTGTATCTGTATTGTATTAATATTTGGCACATGATCTCTTTTCTATGAATTATTAAAGAATTTTGGAGTTAAGCAGTGTCTATTCATTATAAAGGCTGTATTAATGTTATTTGGACTCCTCCCAGTTGGTGAGAATTTGGTTCTACTATCAGTCTCTCTGACATCGGACTAACGCTATAGTGTGTATACTAAATATAGTTTTTATGCATAGCCATTAATGGATGCTTCCTACTTTTGATGTCTCATTTGACCATGGGTAATCTGGATAACAGGATTTTGTCTAAACTATATTTTTTTTTTAGAATATCAGTTGACTCAGACAGTGAAGAAGAGAAGCCTAAGCCTAAGGCAAAACACAAGAAGTCTGTTGATGAAGAGCTCAAAGAAGTCACAAAGAATATAAAAAATGTTTCTGTCTCAAATAAATCAAAAAAGAAAAAAGATGTTAACAGTGATGATGGTATGCAGACTTTAATTAATTGTCTCTGATGTTTGTAACTAAGAACTTCTTGAAAATAAGTAATTGAAAAGAAGTTACAAACATATTGCCGATTGTAACATTCATATTGATTTTGATGTCATTTTCAATTTGACCTATTTATTTTACTGTAAACATAATTGTTGTTTAGTATTTTTTATTAAAACATTAATTCTTTAAGACTTGTTATTAACTGAAATAATGTAAATAAAATTGAATGCTCTTACGTAAAATAAGTTTTATCATATTATATAAATATATATATTATTTTTCAGATGAATCAGAAGAGGAGGAAAAGCCAAAAAAGAATAAAAAGAAAGAAGAGAAAAAGAGTGCTTTTTCACTTTTAGAAATAGAAGATGCCGATATTTCTCCACCAGAAGCCTCACCTTCATCAGAGGATGAGAGACCCATACAAAAGCAGCAAATGAAACCTGTTCAGGAAAAAAAAGAGCCTGCTGGAAAGAAAGGAAAGAAATCAAAGAGAAAGAAGGATGACAGTGATGATGATTTAGAAAAAGTATTAGCAGAGTTAGAAATGGAGTATGCTGGAGTAAAAAAAGAAGCTACTCCAGCTCCTGATCCTGAAAAATCTGAGGTAGCTGTAGAAGAAAAGACGAAAACTAAGAAGAAAGGCAAGAAGGAAGAAGCAAAAGTAGAGCCTGAAGAGCAAGAAGATAGAGAAGGTAGTGATAATGAAAATGATATTATTATAAAAACTGCAGCCCAAAAAAAGAAAGAGAAAAAAGAAAGGGAGAAATTAAAAAAGCTCGAATCTAAGAAAAAAGAGAAAGAGCAAGAGGCTAAAAAAGAGTTAACTGATGACAAAGCAAAAGCTCCTGAGAAGGTAGAAAGCAAACCTGAGGAGATACCTGAAGATGTTAAGGCTCCATCTGAAGAAAAGGAAGCGGAAGGAGATACTCCTGCAGCGGAAGGTAAAAAAAAGAAAAAAAAGGGCGAAAAGGCTGAAAAAGATGATAAAGGTAAAAAAGGCCCTACTAAAAAGACAATTGCTGCTATGCAAGAAGCCTTGAAAAAAGTCCAGGAAGAAGAAGAGCGATTGAGAAAAGAAGAGGAAGAAAGGATAAGACAAGAAGAGGAGAGGGAACGTCAACGATTAGAAGCAATTCGATTAGAGAAAGAAAGAAAAGAAAGGAAAAAGCAGAAAGAAAAGGAGAGAAAAGAAAGACTTAAAGCTGAGGGCAAATTGTTGACACCTAAGCAAAAGGCTGAAAAAGCGAGAGCTCAAGCCTTGTTAGAATCCTTGAAGGCTCAAGGTATAGAAATTGGGTCAGCAGAGAAGAAACCTGCAAGGCCTGGAACTAGAGTAAAGCCTGGTAGACTAAAATCTCAACTGTCACAAGATACACCTTCAACTCCATCTGAAGAAAAAAAAGAGTTGGAGATTGGAGAGAAAAAGGTAGGTAATTTATTGTACTAAATTCTACTAAAGGACATCTTTCAAGCTTTGAACATTTTGAACACATACAATACTGGAGTTTTGTAGAAAATATGTTTCTAAATTTAATAATAAAGAAAATAAGTTTTTAAAACAGCTAACGTCTAAGTTTAACCCTAAAGCTAGGACATGTGATTGAAAATATAAAAATAATTTTGGTTACTTAAAATATGTTTAAGTAATAATTAATAATGTAGAACTCGAAGACATTTAACTGACATTTAACACTCTTTATCCTGAACTTTTCTTTACATTTACATTAAAATAACTTATTGTTCGTCAATTCATCAGGATGTGGAGCCTAAACCTAGCGAAAAGAAGGAATCCGATACTGAGTCCGTAAAAGACGCTTGGGACGCCGAGTCTTCAGAGGAAGAGACTGAACCGCCACCGAAAGAAGAACAATCGAAAACGGAGAAAGTTCCTACTCCTGTAGTGGAGAAAGCCAAGGAGGTAATTTAATATATATTCTAATGATTTATTTATTATAAAACTATTTTATGATTGTATGACTTCTTAAAATACTGTAAAAATATTTTAAGTATTAAAAACACAACAATAAATTTCATTAAATCCAGTGTCCATAAACTTGGACTAAATTACTACCTTATGCGTAAAAATTTAAAATTGCGTAAATGAATTTCAATAATTTAAATTTAACCACAGAAAGGTGCAGAAGAAGAAGAGAGTTCATCCGAAGAGGATGAGAGTTCTGAGGAAGACAGCAGTTCTGAAGAGGAGTCTGATGAGGAAATGACTGATGCACAGAAAAAGAGAGAAGCTGTTATCAAGAGATTAGAGGTAAAGAAATACCCTTTATCATCCCTGTGTGGACCTTTAACACTCTGAATGAAAAAACCTTTTTATATCCTTCCTTAAAAAACCTAAATAATTCAGTGTCATTGTTATCAGATTAAGATCAGATGATGAGATCCCGGCGAAATTATAAAATCTGTTCAAACATCATAGACAAACCTATTGCGATTTTAGGATTTTTTAAACTGAGTACTTAATTTGCAGTCGACATGCACTATTTGGTGACGCTTCACCAAAAATAATTGATAATTGACACTGGAAATACCACTTAATAATAAGTATTTCACTGGGGTTCTCGAAGTAATGCGATATAGTGAAGTAATGGTAAAGTGCCAGGACACACATTGCCTGACTTTATACAAACGAGGAAGTTTTCAATTTGACTTATTTTGTATTTCTATTATGCTGAAACTGATGACAATTCTTTCAGAATCGAATTGTTTTTAGTCAAGGTTTATCTCAATTTTATTTTCTATGACTTTCTATTAAAGACGGTTATTTCTATGGAGATAATTGTTATTCCTTATTAACAGAAACGCAAGCAGGAAAATGAGGCTAACAAAACCAATAACCCACTTCGTGCTGCTGTGGTGTGCGTTCTCGGGCACGTCGACACTGGCAAGACCAAAATCTTAGATAAACTGCGTCGTACCAACGTCCAAGATGGTGAGGCTGGTGGTATAACGCAGCAGATCGGCGCGACCAATGTTCCTATCGAGAATATCAAGGAACAGACTAAACATGTTAAAGGGGTAAGTATATTGATATAAAACGATACAATAACTATTTTTGTTTAAAAATAAACTCTAAGTGCAATATGATTATTCGATCAAACTGGATCACTCGCTCGCTCGATCGACTACATACTAAAGGTCTATGCTTTTTCTTATAGGTCAGCGAAATATCTTTCAAGTTGCCTGGCTTGTTAATTATCGACACTCCTGGGCACGAGTCGTTCAGTAACTTGAGGAATAGAGGATCCTCACTCTGCGATATTGCCATTTTGGTAAGTTAATTCATTATTTTGTTAGGTCACCAATATCTATCATACTAAACTAGTCATTTAAAGCATGTAACGTTTCATTATCATTTATAGTAACTGTAATAACTCTGTATGGTACTAAACTGTCGAGTCAAAACAATTCGTTTTTCAACGTCGTACGTTTTTTAGAAAGTTAATATTTACTTTTAATAATTAGTTTCACAACTATCACAAAAAGATTTCTGACAAAACTTGAAAATAGTAACGAGTATAATATTTCAAAGGTCTTAATGTCTATATATTTCTAGGTCTATCTGTATTTATCAAAATAACAGTTGAAATCTACTTAGTATCGAAAAAGACAAGTCTATTTTAAATATTGTATTGTAGATCAGATCCCTTCCAATAAATTACTTTATTGAACGGGTTATCGTCTGCGGTATTTCCGAACCGATACGACCTTCAAACCTTCAAGAAAAGAGCGTACTCCTTCCTAAAAGGCCGGCAACGCGTTTGTGTCTCCTGAGTTGCAGACGTTCATGGGCGCCGATGGTCACTTTCCATCAGGTGACCCGTCTGCTCGTCTGCCACCTCTAACATAAAAAAAAATAAAAATACATATTTGCTGTTAAAATTCCGTTTTGTTTTTCAGGTAGTAGACATTATGCACGGTCTCGAGCCTCAAACAATCGAGTCCATAAACTTATTGAAGCAAAAGAAAACACCGTTTTTGGTTGCTTTGAACAAAATCGACCGTTTGTACGACTGGCAGAGTGCTCAACGCAAGGATGTGCGTGATATACTAAAGATGCAGCAGCCCAATACACAATTGGAGTTTGAAAAGCGAAGCAAGGATGTTATGTTGCAGTTTGCTGAACAGGTAACATACCTACAACAATTACATTAACCTAGTTATTTAAGCTTAAAGATTTACTAAATGTTGATATATAATAATATGAGCTTATAGATGTGAGCGTGAGACGAACTCCTCTGGACATGTCACATACATGCGCATGACATGACACAACACAAGTAATAATAACCAATGAAATAGTAGGTACTATTGTAGTTTTTCGTGTACTTTATTTATCGTTAAGTACATTGGTATTATCATGATGTCTGCTTTTACTACATGTCGAGTTTTTACCATTTTTACTATTTCGAGTTTGATATTTATAAAATATATACCAACGCCTCATGGAGATATTGAAAAAAGAAATGTTTAACTCTTGCATTTTGTCAAATATGATTGGGTCGCACTCACGTCATAAGGGACCAGTCTATTGGCGTCAACTGCCAACTTATTGCATCAAGATAAAAACAGATTTTTTTAAAAAGCACTTAGGGGAAAAAAGTAAGGCAATCGGGAAAAAAGAAGGACGACGAAAAAGAAGTTAATAAGGATTATAACGAATGAATTGGACTGTCACATATCTGTAACTTAAAGGAACGGACTGTTGCCTGAAAGACAGCCATCTCTCTAAATGCCTATAATGACTAACATGCATTTTTATTCACTCCCCAGGGTCTTAACGCAGCGCTCTTTTACGAGAACCCCGACCCTCGAAGTTATGTTTCGCTAGTGCCTACTTCAGCGGTAACAGGCGAGGGTATGGGCAACTTGCTCGCGATGATCGTGCAAGCTTGCGAGGGACCGCTTCACAAACGACTTATATTTTCACAACAACTGCTCGCTACCGTGCTTGAGGTATGTGTGTACATTAAAGTATGATTCTTTTCCTACCTTCTAATAGTAAAGTTTTAAGAATAACAATGATTTTCTTGTCACATAAGTCTGTTAAGTAAAATATGTATGTATAATATTTATAACATTTTATTACAGCACCACTTTGAAAATTTATTCATTTATTTTTATTTATTAGTTAAGGTCTACCAAAAACAAAGTTGTAAGACAAAATACAATTTTAGCTAGTTTAATCTATCATTAGATACAGTATGTAAAATTAAGTAAGTTCAACAGTATTAATTTAAAAATGAGATAATTATATCTCCTTTCTCTTTTGATTACCACATATACGTTTTAGATAGCTTTACGGATATAACCTGAAGTGTGCAGAGGAAATAACTAATTAATATATAACTAATAATATGTTACACATAACACAGAATAACAGAGACCTTTTTAAAGAGACTTTAAAAAGAAATTGTCTCTTTAGTCTATGAACATAGGGTTTATATGGTTTTGTTCGAAAGTTTTGCTTGCCACGAGCGGCTCGCTGACGATCGTCGCGTGTCGCCTGATTTGAACCAAATAAAATAAACTTCCGAGATTTAATTTTTTTCTATATATGTGACGTCACATGATTCCCACAAATGTGGAAAATACAGTGTGACCGAATTTATAAATGGCCCCTTAATTGACTAATATAGATACTATGATTGTAAAGTAGGAGTGAACTGATCATTTTTTGTTATTTATGACACAGGTCAAAGCCATTCCTGGCTTAGGTACAACTATTGATACAATCCTTATCAACGGAACACTACACGAAGGTGACACAATGATTTTAGCGGGTACTGATGGTCCCATCGTTACACAAATACGTTCGCTGCTCATGCCACAGCCTATGAAGGAGTTACGAGTTAAGGTAAGAATTTTTAAGTAATACACAGTATAGATGTTCTAAATAAGTGTTACAGAACTTGAAATATATCATGTTCTCGCTGCTTTAGCCCTTTTCTTTGTTTATCTGTCCCCTTTAATTTCACCAATTGTTCAAGTTTGATTGTGACCTATAAAAATGTATAGAATTAAATTTCTCCTATATATATGTAGGTGATCTTGTAGGTGATCTTATATCCAAATTTTTTTGATGTCAATTTTTCTAGTGATGGTGATTGAAATAAACAATACAAAAAATACATCCAGTATCTTTTGTATGGTATATTTTAAAATTTATTTTTTTTATTTGGGTCTTTTGTTAATAATTTTTCGTATTTAGAATGCCTACATTGAATACAAAGAAGTTATTGGCGCTCAAGGAGTGAAGATCGCAGCCAAGGAGTTGGAAAAAGCTATTGCTGGACTGAACCTTTACGTAGCGCAAAAACCTGACGAAGTTGACGTGTTAAAGTAAGCTATATGTAGATTGATTTTTACTACTTATGCGTCTGCAGTATTTTCATCATTTTTAATTTTCAAGTCTTGCTTCTCAACTACTGAAATTTGTTTAAAATGATAGTTAAGTAAAGGTTACCTACAGAACAAAAAAATAAAAAATAAAATTAGAGTTAACTGCTTTCTGTCGCTAAAAAAACAAAAACTTAAGCAAATATTTACTTAAAAAATAAATAAATGTGTATTAATTTTGTTTAAATATAAAATAAATGTGTTTTTATTTTAATATATGTGTTTATAAATGTGTGTAATTGTGTGTAATATGTGTTTAATATATGTGTTTATAAATGTGTTTTTATTTTTAGGGAAGAGGTAGCTCGCGAGTTGAAGTCGGCACTATCATCTATCAAGTTGTCGGAGAGGGGCGTGTATGTGCAAGCCTCCACGCTTGGATCTCTTGAAGCGTTACTTGAATTCCTTCGAACCAGCAAAATTCCTGTTAGTGTTTTGTTTTATATTTATCCAATATATTATCTTTTCAAGTACTATGGCACACCACTTTTTGTTGTAGCCTCTCTTTTGGAATAGCAATTGCACATTAAACTTGAATAAAAACAAAGAACAGTGTTGTTAAACTCCTTGGGTGTTGTGTTTTGCTAAGATGTTCATTTTTGAAGTAATTTTATTTTTGTACCAACACATTAAACCAAGTGTCTATAATTTTCATTTGTAAGGAAAATTTGCTATAATACAAAAAGATTACTTAGAACTAAATTCAAATTCTTTTTTCGGGATCATACCTTTTATCTGAAATCAGGGCCTCAATTCTGCTATTTTGTGTTAACGCCAAGCCACTGTCATTCCATTGACACGCTATTGAGATGCCACTGAGATGCCATTGACATAGGTCAAAATATCAGTATTCTACTAACATGATTTCAGTGTCAATAGACTGTCGATATAGTAATATAGGTCATCAATGGTGATATCAACAACATTGCCATACCTGGAAAATTAAATATATCATTTTCTTAAGATGTACCGTTTACCAAACTATTTCAAAGACATCGACGACATTTGTATTAGTGACAAGTCATCGGGAGGCCATTGGTCTTACATAGTTAGTAGATATTAAAAGTGCAAAATTATTCCAACGACATTCCACCGACAGTATATTGATACAATATTAAAAAAAGCAGAATCGAGACCCAGAACCTATGTTGTAAAACCATAACTCAAATAACAGTGCTTATATTGCAAGCGTTTTACGCCACGCCCATATCACTTTAAGTGGTAGTGTTTTTAAATTAAGTTACTTTTCTTTAAATTCTTTTGACTTCTGACAGCTATAAAGTATATTATTTTTGTTTGTTTGTTTTAGTATTCTGCAATCAGAATAGGACCGGTGGTAAAACGTGACGTCATGAAGGCATCCGCCATGTTGGAACACGATTCGCAATATGCAACTATATTAGCTTTCGACGTAAAGGTAATCTTCCCTCTAATATGTAGTACATCACTTCATTATAAGTATAATCTGATCCATATCATATTTCGTATGGGATAGCCCACTCCCAGAAAATTTTTAATTATTTACTTATGATTTTATGTCGCTGTTAATTAAAAACTAACATAAATTCTTCTAAATAGATTGAACGTGATGCTCAAGAAATGGCTGACAATTTAGGCGTGAAAATCTTTGCCGCGGACATCATTTACCACTTGTTTGATAAGTTCACGGCTTACCGCGAAGAGCTTAGGCAGAGAAAGCGCGAGGAGTTCAAGCATATCGCCGTCTTCCCCTGTAAACTGAAGGTAAGTTTTAGACGAATGTGAATGTATGTTACAAAAAATCCAATGAATATTTTTTATGTAAAGCACGAACTATATTGGTAAAAATAATATAAATCACGTGTTTAATAGTACACTATGAGTGTTTGTTGATAATCGGACTTTATTAATGTGCATAGATATGCAGTGCATGCAGTTGCATAGATAATAAATTATGCCTATACTTATGAAGTGCGACTTTGTATCCTTGTTCCATAACGAATATACAAAGTATGGGAATCTAGGTAATTCTATCTGCCATACCTTAACTACATTTTCTAACGACACAATTATAAGAAAATTGTCAGTGAGATGGAAAAAAATCTTTTTGTACTTTGCAATCTAACCCTAAATTCTGTTCTGCTATAATCACACTAAAGTATTGACAATAAAAGGCTTCTTATAATGTTAAATCTAAAACAGGTGCTGCCGCAGTTTGTCTTCAATTCTCGTGACCCCATCGTCTGTGGTGTAATGATTGAAGCTGGCATTGTGAAAGAGGGAACACCTATTTGCGTACCTAGTAAAGAAGTAAGTTATTTTTATTATTTGTACTCAAGTAAATAATGTATTATTTACAAAAAAATCTAAGTATACTTATTTGTCGCCTCTATGAATCAGTATCGGTCTAGTAAGAATCTAAATATTCTGGCTAATGTCTCAAGACAGATTTATTAGTTCAAGAAGATTCAACATGTTAGTCATGATTCGGTACAGTTAACTATAATAAAAACTTCACACATCTCACACACGGCCGTCTGATTCCAAACTAGGCAGAGCCAGTAACCAGACTGCTGATAAACACTTATATATTTATAAATACAAACATATTATAGATGGATACTGCACGGATGGCGTAGTGGTTTAAGCGGTCGGTCCCCGATCCCCACATGGGACGACACTTTGTGTGATCCAAAAATTGTTGTTCTGAGTCTAGGTATTCTCTGTGTCTGTTTCATGTATGTTTGTAAAGTCCCCAACGACACAGGATATATTCAGTCAGGTTCACTAACTACTAGACCAACAGGCCTGTCGAATTTACTTGGGTCGGGCTTGACCGGAATGACACCACAGCCTCACAGTAAACTGGGTTTGAGCAGTTTTTTTCGTTGATTTTCACTGATTGAGTGAGCCTGGAGCCCAAACCTCTTTTAAATGCAGGTGTCTATGGCAGCGGTAGTCACTTAACATCATCACGTGACCCGTCTGCTTGTTTGCCCCCTTATACCCAAAAAAAGTAAACTGGTCCAGCATTAGACGTTTGGGACAGAATATAAACATAATAAATGTGACCGATCACATTAGAAATACCTTTTTTTTTTGTTGACGGGGTGGAAAATACATTCGGATCTCCGGCTCCTCGGGGACATAGGAGCCAGGAGCATGTAGTGTTTCCACCAAAAACAACTCCGACAGCCGCTCTCAGGTGCTCTGGGCAGGACCCGGACCATGTTATTTCATGTTCCAGGACGCGGTGCCAAGCCAGGTAATATCTCGGGGGAAGCAGGCTTCAACCCGCCTATCGACCTAATGAATATGTGTTCGGATTTTGCTTCCCCACTCCTGATCCCGTTCAGCGTTTCCTTGCTGGAGCATTACAGCTTCATAAAAATAGACCACTGCGCCCCAGCCCTCCTCATCTGCCATCATCTCACCAATGTTTGCTGGTGGGGACAGCTCTCGTCCGAACACAAAAAATACCTATCGAAATAAAATAAATCATTAAATGATTGTCATCAGATGACTCTGAATAAATTGCAGCACCCCATTGCTTCTAGATCCTATTTTTCTCATAGTATGTCAAACGATATAATTTTAGTATGAAATACATGTTTGCTTGTTCGCAGTTTGTGGAGCTGGGCTTAGTGACATCAATTGAGGTGAACCACAAACAAGTAGAGACGGCTCGCAAGGGTCAAGAGGTGTGCATTAAGATCGAGCCCATCCCCGGCGAGTCTCCCAAGATGTTCGGCAGACATTTCGACGAGACTGATTTTCTAGTCAGCAAGGTAAGAAGTAGCATATCATATATTTATCCAATATGTGCTGTAGTTTATCAAATATGTAAAAACGGCTGCATAAAAAGTGTCCAGTATATGTTTTGACCTCCCGCGATACAAAAGTCTATACAATGACAGTTCAAGTTATATTGGTCATTGAAATCTTTAGTAATATTATATTACCAGGCCAGGCGATCTATAGTAATATTATATTACCCACTAGCTTCTATTGTCCACGGTTTCACTCGCGTGATTATGTCTTATCTCGACTCTCCAACTTTGAAAATAATAATAATTATTATTTAATTAGACAATGAGCAAAATAATCTATATCTATAGAAATAAATAAAATTGAAGTGTCTATTAGTAATGTCAAAATAATAGGTTTTTTCATGCTCACACGGTTATTTGCACGATACTTATGCCTGAAAACCAGTTTAATTTTTTTTCGTCTGTCTGTCTGTTTGTTCCGGGTAATCTTCTAAACGGCTGGACCGATTTAAATAATATTTTCCTAACAGGTAGCTGATAATATAAGGAATAACTTAGGCTATTTTTCCTCTCCTATATGTCTATATCTCCGATATATTCCTAATGGGGGAGTTCTCTTTAAAAAACCCTTATTTTACTTCCTTAGGATGAAATAAAAAAAAAACTTTCTGTAATGCGTGGTAAAAGTATACCGATGTTTGAGTAAGGTCTTTCGTACTATACACTCCTCAAGCTAAATTGCGGGTTAGTGTCTAAATTTTCTGAAAGCATTTGTAATGCAGTTCTATATAAAAATACTATAGTTATAATTTATAGATATAGTATAGAATTTCAATACATGAAATAAGGCACAGCTGTGTTAAATTGGATAGACGTAAATGTAACTGTTTTTTCTCAGTCGTCTTATTAAGTAAACAATCATGGCATACTGATAACCAAAGACAACAGATAAGAAGATAGGATAATATAGCAAATGAATTACTAAATCTATACCAATATTTACAAAGCTGAAGAGTTAGTTTGTTTATTTGACTAATCTCAGGCACTACTGGTTCGAATTGAAAATTCATTTAGTGTTGGATAACCAATTTATCGAGGAAGGCTATATTATGCCATCACGACCAACAGGGTCCGTAAATCAAAGAATGAAATCCTTTTGAGAGATGCTACACTTGCTCCGGTCATCTAGTTACTTATAAAATGACTACAATAAAATAAATTAAAAAAGGCCAGGAGGCTCAGGAGTCACAAGGCAACGCGCTTGTGACTCCTGAGCTGCAGGCGTTCATGGGCGGCGGTAGACGCTTTCCATCAGGTGACACGTCTGCTCGTTTGTCCCCTCTTCCATTAAAAAAGAAATGGGTAGAAATAATACGACTAGGTATCCGTTATTGAAACGAATGTAGAATCTTCCCTCATGTGCAACATTTACTTTTCGCCCGATTTTATGGGTTCAATACAACTCTTTTTTAAGTAGCTCCTTTACCTTCGCCGTTTTAAAGTGTATTATTATTTAAGACAGTTGTTTTTTAGCCCATGCTTTTACAATTTTATTTGGGTACGGTAAATTGAGGCGAAAGGAGAAGGAGATAATAATTTCTTTAATAAACTGCCATTTCGTTGACAAAGAGCAATAAAAGTATATTTAAGTATTCCATTTTTCTAAATTTCTATATTTAAGTATTTCATTTTTCTAAACGTTAGCACACGAACCCTATTTTTTACGTTTTGCCTAAAACATCAAACTATTTAAAAGACCAACCAATGAATATTATATAAACAATATTGTTCAAAACTAAAAATAATAACTGGAACTATTGTATTATATATGTTAAAATATTTGTCAGCAATTCGCTGGCAAGGAAAATCATCTACGTCACAAGAATTCCCAGAAAGTGGCCTTGAATATAATGGGAATAAAAGATGCTGTTTTCCGACAAATGCTTAAAATAATATTGAATGATTAAATTGAATAGGGAAAGGACGTCTTTGGTTTTGCTTCTGACGTACTTTTAACGCATTTTCATAGCAATTTAAAATTTAAATTTGGTAATTTAATAGGCAGTAAGCATGGTATTAATAACTATGGTTATTGGAAAAGCGCTTTTTTGTCGTGTGCGGATTTGCGTAATGGGATAACACGTCACCGGTGAAGTGGTATGTCGGAATCGCACTTTCACTAAAACCATAACAATGTTCCTTCAAGAGATCTAATATGTAAGGGTGAAATAAGCCGTTATGATTTCCCTGATAAAAACTACTGCGCAATAATTTTTGCCACAAAGAATTTGCCGACTTGATAGTAAGTCTGCTCAATCATAATTTTCTCTTTCGTGATTGCCACTGGAAAACATTTTTGCCGCAACTTTGCCGGCTCTTTAATGCCTATACCTGAAATGGTAGAACTTGCTGTATTTCTTGTCTTTTCGATGACTATTTCTTTTACTACAAACGATAGTATTTAATACTAATAATTTTAATAATAATGGCGGACCATCTCACAATTTCAGCTATCACGGTAGAAGTTTTTTAGAAGTAAAGTATGCAACTAATTTTGTTATTATCGTGTGAGCGTAAACCCGCTGGCGAGTGGTGTGACGATGAAAAGTAGCGTTCTTAATCTCGAACAATTTCCCAGAACACAAACTGTTGTTTAATATATAGAACACACGTAGGGATGCTAAATCTCTGTTTAGTTTCAATACAGCATGTGAGCTTGGGATTTGCGGCAATCCTCAAGCCTCGACTTTACTTTTAGATTCATATTAAGCATATACAGATACAGATAAAATATAGATAATAGTTTATTACATCGTCCGAGTGGTGACGGATAAAGAATACAGAGTGTCGCCACCCCTATTCAGCCCGTAGGTGTCGTAAGAGCAGAGGCGACTAAGGGAGCAAAACTACGCAGGACAACAGGACTGCAAAGAGAAGGAAAACTTGAAACAAACCCTATACTAACTCCTCTGGCCAATGTGGTATAGTAGGCCAAAACCTCTTTTCTAAGGAGAGGCCTATGTCCGGCAGTGGATTACCTGTTGATGTATGATGTGATATTAAGATTTTAACCACAATGAATTGATTAATGACTCGATACGCCCCGGCTTCGCATGGGTGCAATGGAGATACCACTAACACTACTAATGTGGTATCAGTGTGAAGTAATTAATAAAATGATTATTGTGATGGGGCTATGTTCGGCGGAGATGATGATGATACTATAGGACATCTTTTTTAATTTATTTAATTATTGAACTTGAACTTTAGTTGTGTACATGTAGTTGAAATACAATATAGCTCTGATCCTGCCGGCCGCTGCTACTCGGAACGGACTTATGACTCGACGGTCGGTGGGCCCCCGCATTTTAAACCTCTAATATCTTCTAAAATATTTATTTTAATTATATGCTGTAAAGAGCAATTTTAATCTACATTAAATGCACAACGTTCTAACGTATTTTATTGGATAAGGAATAATAATGTATTGTTTAAAATAGTTTCGTAAATAACCCATTATTTTTTGTAATGTTTAAAAGATAAAAATGGTTTTTGTAGATCAAAACATACTTTTTACGATATATCTTTGAAATTCTCGGGATTTCTCTACTATAATATGCATGTATTACACATATCAACCTTCCTCTTGAATCACTCTCTATTGGTGAAAACCGCATTAAAATCCGTTGCTTAGTTCAAAAGGTCTAAGCGTACAACACAAAAAAGCGAATATTTTATACTATGTAAACATATTGTCAACAAATGATTATTTTTTATGACTTAGTAGTCGCCAAACGTACACCGCAGACGAGCAATATACGCCGCGACTTTAATGAGATCATCCAATGAAGGGCTCGAGACTAAATGATAGGTATCGCTCAGTTTATTAGTAGTTTATCCATCTACTTGTTAAAGTACCAATACGACGCTTAATCCCGTGATACGTGACGATTGTAACGTACTATGATAAACAGATATAGTGTAATAAAATTATTTGTATAATCAACCAAATATATATTTTTGAACAATCTTTACTAAAATTCTTTGATGAGTTACATGGGCACTTTGTTATTTTTTTTAATCAAGTTAACAAGGTTTGGTAAACATTTTTAGGGTTTCATTCACTGAAAAGTTTATTAACGTGTTTTGTAATAATGAAATTCGTATTTTCGCCTTATTCGGAACCCACTTAGGTTAAAATGCGCCAAAACCTAATATGGGTAGTTATAATTTGAATTTTCTTTATCTAATTGCACATGTATCAAGTAACATTTTGCCACCGCTGCATTGTCTATTGATTTTGATGTAAATAAAAATTATTTCACACATATCAATTTTACCTACCTTATAAAAGGACCAAAGAAAACTAGTTTGATTGTTTGATTGTTGAGATTGTTATTCTACTAAACTCGTTACATTGTCAATTAGTAATCTTTAACGGATTGACGATTCGATTGAAATAATAGTAAAAGCCTATGTTTATTATAATTTATATTGTTATTGTAATTTGAAATCATCAACAGCCTTTACTACTCCACTGCTGGACATAGGCCTCTCCTCAGAAAGGTTTTTATTTTTATTTTATTTTTTGTTTTTCTTTAAAAAGACTTACTAGCAACCGAAATTACTAGTATTCCCGTTAACCCCTCCAGCTAAGCTAAATTGCTTGTGTTAGGAGTGGGTTCACGGCGGTAGTGTACAGGTCAGGATTCGAACCCACGATCTCTTGATCGCAAGTCCAACTCCTTAACCACTAGGTTACCGCCGCTTGCCGTTTTGGCCTACTATACAACACTGGCCCGATGGGTTGGCATAGGGTTTGTTTCAAGTTTTCCTTCTCTTTGCAGTCTTGTTGTTCTGCTTAGTTTACTCTCTTAGTCAGCTCTTACGACACCCTCGGGATGAATTGGGGGTGGCGACACTGTATTCTTAATCCGTCACCACACGGATAATTATAAATTAAATATATTATAAATTTAAAATTTTGACATGTAATTACCTAGTCCTGTAAATGATTG